CACACACCAGATTTATCTGTACGTTTGTCACAAACATATAAGACTTCTTACCTTGCTTCTTTAGAATATCGAGCTCTATATCTCTTCTTTCTTCTTTTTTAATTTTTTTTATTTTTTTATCTTGACTTAAAATAAGTATGGAGAAAGCAAATGATGGTGATTCATGATAGATAAGAATAATGGAACATTTCAGCGCAACAAGAATTACTAAGTAATGATGCTACTGAATGTTGCAGATGAACAAAAAAAAAAACAATGGTATTCTTTAACACAGGATTTTTATTAATATGATAGCAAACCTATAATATTCATCAATGTTTATTTTAGGGTTTAATTTTTTTACAAACATATCATTTTGTTTATTCTCAGTTTTTCAAAGAAATATATGTGTTGTGTAACATGTTAAAGAAACCTCAATTATATGGATGATAATAGAAAATGGTTATGAGTTAATTCTAGAAATAGACACAAATTAGCGCTATTATCAGGATATGTGTAAAATCAGTATGATGGGCAGATATTTATATTTTACCTTTTAATTCTACTGTCAGTTTGTACTTGTTTATTATATGAAAACATGTTAACAGTTAATTAATTTGTCTGAAAATTATTAATATAGTGATTTACTTATATTAACTATATTTTTTACTTGTACTAATAAACTATGAATATCTGGTTCATGACCGAATAAGGCCTCCTTGATTTTAAGTTGAAATTAAATTTATTATACCACTTGTATGAAGTTTTTTACATTTAATTTTGGTAAAGAAAATAACTGATGTGCAATTTGATCAACAACGTTTAGAACCTGAAAAATTTGTTCATTTTCATGCTTTTCTTCACATGTTATAAGATAATGAGCAAGAAATAATGATAAACCCTGTTATTGATAGAATGATGTATTAAAATCATTTTAAAGTTTTGTTTGTATTTTATTCATATCCTGTTTTGGAAGCTGGTAGTATAAATACACTCTATTGTAAAGTAAATAAATTTATTCTCCCTGCTCAATCTGGGAAAGGATAGTTTCTTGTAGGACTGTTTGCTATTGCTAAACACTGCTTGAATAGTGAAGTGACTAAATATCCAAAACATTACTATTTGTTTTTAAATAAAATTCTAATGCATCTTTCGTGTAAGTGAAGGCATAGAAAAAGAATCTGTAAGGTAACAATGCATCTTACTTATACCTGTTAGATTATGAAGTAATTTTATAATCTGTTATGATAGCAGCATAGTCATTAATCCATAATAACCTAAGTCACTAAGTGAATAAGATATTAAGATTAAAAATGGAATCAGGGTTGGTAAATTGAGCAGTAATAGAATAGTTAAAGGTTTAGACATTTTACAAACTATGAGAAATACAATTATCTCACTTAACTAACAGCCACATTATTGTTAAACCAAACTATTTGTCTTTATGCTTTTCTTATACAGTACATTACATGATCTGAATTCAAGAAACAAATATTACGTAGTGAAATACCATTACATTTTGTTCCTAGTTGTGAATGTCTAAACTCAGGTGACCAGATTTTAACCTCGGTTAAGTGGGACACCATTGACCAGGGGGAGGGAGGAAAAAATTCTTGGTTAAAAATTTGTTTCATTAACTCCAAAGAATAGATTAAACTTGTTACAATAATTAATTTTACATAATGAAAATATAAGAGGGAGGGATTGGCTGGCAACCAAATAATTAATAAATCGAATTTTACAAGATGTAAAATAATTATGAGTTCACATCCCGGTTCCGGAGCTCTTTTAACTCTGAGGCATTAATCGTTCGCTCTCTTCGTTGCCCCGGGAAAATCATCATATAGCCTTAAAGGAGAGGAAGGAATGGAAAAAAAATGGTAATATGGGGCAAATGCTAATCAGTTGAAATAAGGTTGGAAATTTAGTTCTAGAGAATTATTTGATGTCTAATTGATGACTTCAATAGTAACACAGTTTTAAGACAAATTTTTTGTGCCAGCAGTTTGTGCACAATCAAGCAGCTCTTTTTCAAAATGCTAAAAACTTATTGAAGAAGAGAACATTTCAGTAATTGAATTAGTAAATGAAGGTTATTTGCTGATCTGATGCCTAAGTTTAACCTTTTTCTTATTAAAATATATATTTTAATAATGTTATATCTTTTTTAGGTTGTTTATTATCATTAATTTCATGCAATGATGGTCAAATTTAACAACTGATCAACAACTTTGCTAAGCAGTTCTCAATAATCAGTTCTTCACAATTATTCGTTATTATTAAATTTTAACGTTATGAAATCACCCAAAATAATATAAAGCTTATATCCTGGCGAAATAGCTTCATGGCTGCCGAAAACCGTGTATTCTCTTCCCATTCTCTAGCTTGTAATTTTTTTCCCGAAAATCTGGACTTATTGAAAATGTCGCGGGATGCAGGAAACATTGTTAAAATGCGGGATGTCTGGTCAACTTGGTCTAAATCCATCTTTATAATCTGAACCACTTTTACAAACTTACGAATTCTATACGAATGGACAAAAATTATTTTATTATATTATGATAATAGTCAAAGAACAAGTCAAATAAAATAAACAATAGCACAAATTGTGTGCCAAAAAAAAAAAATTGTGGGAAGAAGGATTAAACATTTTTGGTTTAAATGACTGCCCTCCTCGATTATTATGGGTTAATTATTACATAAATATTATTTATTAACAATTGGATCCCAATCAACTATATGAATATTCTCTAATTTTTAATAAAAATGTTATATTTTATTTTAAGAACTCTGACATAAGTAGTCCCTATATATTTTAATTATGGGTGATAAATAGTCAGGACGCAGTCATTATACAAATTTTTTTATTTGTGCCAACGTTTCAACCCAAACATGTGGGTCATCTTCAGGGCGTGGTTCGAGCACTGAAGGCTATGAAGTACTGTCCTGGCTATGAAGTACTTGCTCAGTACTTCATAGCCTTCAGTGCTCGAACCACACTCTGAAGATGACCCACATGTTTGGGTTGAAACGTTGGCACAAATAAAAAAAAATTGTATAATGACTGCGTCCTGACTATTTATCACCCCTGATATGTAAAACAGTCGACTAGCTTCCTACAATATATTTTAATTACTTTATTTATAAAATTAACAGTTCCTGAATCATTTAAAGCTGCAACATTTTTAAAGTAAAATGAGTTGGCATTTCTTTAGGATTTTGTATAAATATCTATCACTGCTTATCACTTTATATTTCCTATACCACAGTTGACCTTAAAAAGGTGGATGATTCATTAATAAATATCAATTTAGAATTTATGAGTGGTTTAATAATGTGAGTTCTTTTATTTAATGTAATATATTATTTCTTTTATGAAAAGTTATGACTGTATTTAAATTGGATCTCCTCTTCCCCCTGCCTTTTTTATAATCTTTTGAACATTTATTTTAGTCAGCTATTTTTAGAATCAAGCACAAAACTTTATAACCAATGTCGCTAAACATTAATATTCATTAATTTGCTCAAATTAAATATCAGGCTAACAAATAGACTTCTTTCAAGTTTATTGTCTTGCTTGACATCTTTTCCTTCATTTTACTACATTTTTAAAAATAAACTAGACAAGTTAAGTAGGGCTGTGGAATGAACTGTGAAGAGTAGTGAACGTCCAAAACTATTAAGTGCTTGAAAATCATCAAATTAGTACTTACTATCTTAAATATTTACTTGAATTTTCCAAGTTGCACTTAAATGCGACTGGTCGTTATTGTGAAAAATTGGTGTTTGTTCATTCAACACATTTTTAGAAAGTACTTATTATGATTTCTGTCTCAATTTCTTTTGGTTTAAATGCTAAGAGACATTTTGCAGGAAAAAACAATTAATCGAAAAATCACAAAAATCCCATTATGAAGAACGAGGATATAGACCATGTCTTTACATCCTTAGTATCTATTTGTATAAATAGATTTATTCAGCAAGCCAACAAAATCAGATCAATTATTAACTAAAAAAAAATACATACCGCTTATCATTAAAATAAAATTTAAAATAGATTTACAAATGTGAATTCCTTCAGAATTCACACAAATTTCTTGAATTATAACATATTATAGAATCCAACATGATATTACATTAAGAATACTAATATGAACAGAAAGTGGTGTTTTCAGTTTCTAGCCCTCAATCACAAAAATTGTTATTGTATGTTATTTTAGTACTCTTCGGAGTAATTACAAATATTTTGTATGAATATTATCATAAATCTAATCCTCTACAAGATTGTTTATTATGTGTTTAGCCCTAAAAATAGTTCTACAAATTTTAATGGATTTATTTCTCAGTAGCTGTTCCAAATTTTCAAACATATTATATATGAAACACAGATAATGTTCTTTAATATTGATAAAAACATATTTATGCCATACTCCATTGGAAACTTTTTACGGAGGAAAAACTGATAAGAGACCTTCTTAGCAATTTTTGAAGATGGTAGAAAACGCAAAGGGGGTGGGAGGTCAAAAATTAGTATTTTTAAGGAGGGATAGTCAACACATACAACTCATCTGAAAATCCAACTTACTCCACCTTTTGCAATCCAAAATATCTTTACTGAACTATTTACTCTGTATGAAAATATTTCATCATACTTATAATATTTTTTCCCTCTAGGAACTTAATTCTAATAAGAAGAGTTTATTGTACCTTACTTTAATTAAAAAATGATTGTGTTTTGTCCAAGATAATTTTTCTGTTTAGTATTGCATTATTTAATTTTAAATAAATAAAATTATTTTTCTATTATTTCATTTTTTAATTTTATGAAACATTGCCATTTTTTTATTTTACTTAACCTATATTTATCGAATAACTCTATTGCCTAAAAATGTTCAAGAACTTAAAGTTTTGCTCTTATTTTAAAAAAGAAAAGAAAATCACTACATTTTATTTATTTTCTTTTAAGTTTTTAGAAATAGTTTACAAAACTTAAAAAAATCTTTGTAACTGCTTATAAACAGATCAAAAGAAGGCAGGGGGAGCTATGCCAGGTACTGGCGGTGTACAAGATCCAATTAATGCTCTTCAGAACTTAGCAAGACAAGGTAATGTTATTACCTAATTTTATGGTTAAAGTTTTAGTATTTGTATTTTTGTAGTGTTTTCTTTTTAAATATTATTTTTATTTTGTTTACTCTTTGTTTATTACAATTAAGATTTCAAATAACAACTCCAACAGTTTATTTATGTTGATATCATTTTCCCTCATTGAGTGTTGTACAAATAAAAATTTAAAAAATTGTTTATAATATGTAATCGGAATAAGTTGGAAACTCCTTTATAGGTTTCTTTATTTATTAATAGCAATATACCACTATTATCTTGATTTTCTCTGGTCGGAAAAATGTTTGGTATAGAAGTTTAGTTTAGTGGTTATATAATTTAAACGATTTCCACATTAGTTTAACAAGATGATGTATTCATGTTTGTTAGATATTTTATGGTCTGTATTTGATTTATTAGACTTCATTAGCTGTATAATAATGAAATTAAAACAGTAATTAATAATTGATACTTCTAAGTACAATAATGCAAGTTACATTTGTTAGATTAAGAGATAGATATTAAATATGGGTTGATAAAATAAAGAATATTTTCTCTTCAGGTATTTTACAATTTAAAGGAATTTCGAAAATTATATTTTGTTTATTTGGAAAGGTGGCGGTACAATGAAGTTCAGCTGAAAACATATCAATTATTTAAAGTGTGATTTTGAAATAAAAGATGTGCTGTACTGGTGTGTGGGTTACAGCTTCGCTTTTTGTTTCCTATTGTTTCAATATTAACTGAATGGCCTTTTTTTGCATGTATTGGGTTCTTTAGCATGAAATTGCGGTTTTTTTTAATTTTTGAAAATTTTTAGTTGACAAAGATTTATTATTGATATTTTTTATTCACATTTATTGATTTTTGAAATTTTAGTTCCTCTAGGCTGTCCTAACTAAAAACATCTGACTAGTAAATCAGTATAGCTCCTCATGTTCTCTATTGAGTAGAGAAGAAAAAAGAAATTCACTGTTCATATGTTGACATGTATCAGAAAATTTAGTGTTTTCTTTAACATCTCGAGGATTAGTAATCAAAAATGAATAGAGATATTGTTATTTATGTATGATTCATTTTCTTCAGAATTGTATTTATTTTTATCATACACTGAAAATTAACATAAGTAAAATTATATTTGACCTCAGGAAATTTTATAAAAGTTGTTTTAAAAAATATTAAAATTAAAGGTTTATGGGATCTTGTTTTTATGATTGCTAATTGTAAGCATTTTGTAAAGTTTAATAAGTTGTGTAATATCTTCTGTTACACATTACCTCTCTGTACCTATTGAGCATACCTTTCTATAATGTTTTAACTGATTTCACAAGAAATTTCATACTATAAACATGGTAATATTGCTCTCAGTTGTTGATAATTAAGAAGCTACAAATGGTGGTCAAAAAGCCTTTTCTGCATCCCACATGTGTTCAATGGGATTAGGATCTGAAGGCAATATGGGAAGGGGTAAATGTGAAATATCCAGATTTTTAAGACATTGATGAACACCCACTTTTTCCCCTATGAAGTCGCGTATTGTCATCAAGAAAATAGAAATTTGTGCCAATTATGACCCTGGTTTGAGGAATGTATTCCTCTATAATTTCTCGAACAAGCCAAATTCCAATGAGATTATCTTGCTTGCAATGAGTTGCTTCTTACAGTAATACCAATATTTCTGTGTGTGTAATGTGCTGAGATCTACTAACAGGTCTCCTATTGGTACTTCTGGTTTTTCAGAATCTGGTTAAAGCTTGGGAGACGATAACTACATCAGCGATATTCACTTGCTCGTGCCCTTGACTGCTCATTCTCATGATAATATTATGAACTTCTGGTTCAATACGATGTCTTTCCTTCGTTAAACAGAATATTACTGGATTAAAATTGAGAGAAATCTATAACAACTGTTGGTTTACGAAATGAGTATTCCTCATGATGGTTATCTTTTAGTTAATAATTTAATAAAAATAAAGAATACTACTTGTTTATGTTTACCTACACCAAGATAATCCCCAACAAACAAAAAATAAATAGAGTATTTTAATTATAACAAATAAAATATGGATCAATTTGAAATTTTCCTCTTCATTTTTGAACAGTATTTATTAGCCATCTTTGATATAATTTTATCCTTTTTTCTCTATATATAATGGAAGCCCCTGAAATAACCATTAGGGATACACATTATACTCATTAACTTCCCAAAGATTATAGAATTATTTGTAAACTGAAAAGAACATTTCAATAAAAAAATGTTATAAATCGCATTGAGTTTAAAATCTTTTCATTCTCTACGTTTACTTTCAACCACTTTTCAGTCATTATATCTTTAATAATCTACTTTATTTTAATAATTTTAAGTCTTTCAGATTGTTTTTATTAACCATTACAATTAATCAATTTATTATTTTTTTTATTATTAATGATTTGTAATTTAAACTTTTATCATTTTGAAATACAATTCTCACTGGAAGCATTATATGCAAAATAAATTAAATTACTTATAGCAGGTCATGATATACATGAATAAACTTACCAACACTTGTTGACACGAAAATATAACCTTGACTCTGATAACAGTCTTCAGAACACTGGAATCGCTATCTGATTCACTGACTTATAACTCACTAACAGAAAATTAACTCAATTGAACCCAACTGAATTACATCTATGTACTGAACTACAATCCTCTGTATTGCTAAGTTCTGCAGAAAATTCTAGACACTACAAGTCGATTCCTCGAATCTCATTGGTTAAAAATGGTTTCCAGTCATCTAGATCCTCCTTATATTTACATATATAAGTAAATTTCACACCTAAAAATCACTACAATATATAATACGGTAGTATAGATCTCTTTTCTGCCTTCCAAGAGTAATGAATTTAGATATTAGAGGTGTCAAATTTTAGGGAATGTTTTAGAGAAGTGATGAATCCTAATTTCAATTCTTAAATTGTACTAAAATTATAATAAAAGTTATTTTTAAAAAATATGTAGTTTCCAAGCTCCAACTGTGTTATGTTTAAAATCATTAACTGCAATTTTCAATTCTTAGGACAAAAATATTTGTATGGTGTTGAGGAGAAGATAATGTTAATAATTAAATTTACCATTCGCTGTCAGCTGAAACCAGTGACTTTAATATTGATTAATTGATATCATATTGAAGGGCCCAAACACATCAAAAAATTTTTAAAACCAACATAAATTCTAAACATGAGCATGTTATCAGGCTTCATGTTTCTACAGTTTCTGAAAAAATTAAAAAAAATAGACCTAAAAATATTTTTCTGTGAATTTAGAGATTTTTTTGGGGGGAGGGGAGGGAAATGTAGCCCAGTAATCTTGTACATCTTAAGTTGAATTGAATAGGGGTAGAAGGTTTATTTTTATTTTCTTGTATGGGATGTTACTGAGGTACAAAATCCAAGTTTTCAACCTCAGCATTCCTTCTCTCCCCCTGATGACTTTTGAAAATCTCTAAAACTGCTATATTTTCGCACTTTTCTTTTTTCAGTTTTTCCTCATTTTGACCATGAAGGAGCACGTTTTCGACAACAAATATTCTATACATGATTAAATATACAACAATTTAAGACCGGAACCGCCTTGGTAAATTAAATAATATACGAGATACAGGTTTTCAAATTTTGGAAAATTTCATTTCCCATTTTAATTTTGTTTTCATGTTTTTCCATATGCAATTGTCTTTTTTATCTTGAATAACCTGTCTGATATGAGTCATTTTATTTATTTAAACCCTACTGTGCCATTGAGACAATACGGGTTTTGCAGATCTGGGGTGAGGAGGAAGTCTATAGAGCCTTCCTCAGCTCTGCCGGTCTTCAACAAGACGTCTTCTATCGTTCCATTGAAGACCTCTTCTCTGGAAATCGCTCTTTACCTTATCTTCCCATTTCCTTCTAGGCCGCCCTCTTTCTCTCTTGCCTTCTACCTTAGATCGATAGGTTTCGCTAGCTATTCTGTTTGGTTCCATGTCCTAGGACATATCCTGCTGAAGATGTCCTAGCCATCCTCAATCACATCATTGGCCGGCTTAATATTGAGGTTCGGCCTGGTGGTGGTGTTGCGTACTCTGTCTCTTCTTGTTTTCCCCTCAATCTTTCAGAGAAATTGCATTTCTGACGCTTGTATCCTCGATTGATGTTTCTTTGTCAGCGTCCATGATTCTGAAGAATACGTTTCAATGGGAAGAAATGATTCAATCTAGTTTAAAAGTATATAGAATGTTTTTTGTTGAAAACGTGCTCCTTCATGGTCAAAATGAGCAATAACCGAAAATATAGCAGTTTATTGAGATTTTCAAAAATGATCCAAGGAGGGGGAGGGAGAGGGCGCCGAGGTCCAAAACTTGGATTTTGCATCTCAGTAACATCCCATACAAGAAAAAAACTGTGCCTTAAATGATACTTCATCTAAAAGTCTGGCACGAACAAAATCCATTTTGACTTCAGAAACAGTCTCCAACGCAATAGCTGCTGCACTGAATTCCTCAGTTAAAGTTAGCAAAAGATGGAAAACTTGTCTGTTTCACTCATAATAGAATTCTGCTCTTGAAGATATCTGAAAATTGAATCAAAAACAAGAAAATTATCTTCCGTGCTATATATAATAGAATGCCTCAGGTTAATAAGCTTTCTCCACAAGGTTTGTTTAAAAAATATTGTTGATCTAACAAATACATCTTAAGAGTTAAGAGCATTTATCATCGCCTTTATAGTAGGGCAGTCCATTATCAGATCCGAATATTTATCCGAAATACCTTGAATAATAATGACCTTTGCTTTAGCATCAAATAAAGTGCATCTGAGTTAACTTTGAGTGTAGGGGAAGGGGACTTGTGCCGCTTTCCTCCACTCAAGTTTCACCTACCCAAGACCTCTCTCCAGCTCCACTTGCCCTTTTCACCATAGCAACCACCTTATACTGGGAAAGCGTTATTCCATTTTCTTCAAATTTTGCTCAAATATTTATTAAAGGTAGGGATTTTAATTAAAAAATAAAATAAGACAATGGCGAGGATGGTTAAATAATCAAATTAAGAAAAAAAAGTACTTCCAGCCTCTGTTTTCATGAATTTATATACGTTCAAAATTACATTTTTTGTCTGACAGTAGATAGTTTTCTCTCTACCCAGTTTACTTGACATAATGAATGAAAATTGATAAAAGAAATCGACAAAAAAATGATAAAAGTAATTTCTACTTGTAAACAAAAATTTACAACGAAGTATGAGTATGTATGAATAAGTAGAGTAAGTGCATTTTAAATAATAAAAGTGAATTTAGATTAACTAATTGAATGTAGATTATTACTCCTCTCTAATTACTGAGATTACAATGTTTATGGTTTGTATTTATGAGTACTCAAATATATTTTGCATCAAACAGGGATCTCCAAACTTTCTGGTCCCCAGGCCACATTGAGTTCTCCATCAATTCCTGTAGACCGCATTGAGATCTCTTTAAAGATTCAGTAGGGTCGTTCAATAAAAACTTCACAAGAATCAAAATAACTGAAATGCGTATTCTACTACTGAAATTGTGAGCACTCACTCCACTAAGTATGCAGGCCACTAATAATTACAATATTCATTAAATAGTGGAACAAACTAAAAAACAGCTAATTAAACAAGTGCTAGTACAAAACAAAAAGGCAGTTAAAATTTGTCTCTTGGTCATTATGTTGTTTTAGGACGATTGTCATTACACAGACAGAACACCATGGGCCATAGTTTGTGATTAAAAAAAAAAAAAAAAAATCTTGTTCTATAAATGACACTTCAGTTGTGAAATGAGCTTTCTAAAAGAAAGAACTCATGCAATAAATGTTGTACAAACTGTTTAAGAGATTTACTCTAAATTTCATTTTTTTAAATATTTTTTAAAATTTTACTAGATTGTAAGTGCTTTAAGTTAAAGAGCCCTGGCATAAAATAAAATAATAAATGTAACATGAGTGTATTGTTCCAATAAGAGTTGACATTACATTACAGGTACTCATTAGTTTGTAATTACTTAATTTGTAACACTGAAAAGTTTTTTTTTTTCATTTTTATGTGATAACTTTGCGCTTTTTTATGTAAAAAGTGGGAAATGTACAGGCATTTTTTAGAAAAGAAGGGCTAAACAATCTGTTGACGAAAAACTTATAAATCTAACAGTTAAGTAGATGAGTAGGAAAACATATGGTAGTTAATTGTATTAAATGAATATGTTTGCACTGTTTAATTTTTACTTTCACTTAGCTATATAGAATAAAATACATATTTCTACTGAAAGAAGGATGTTAAATGAAATTTCCGTGATCCGCACACTACTCCAAATTTTTAATCAATTGCAGGGATTCAATTTGTTACTTGATGTATTCTTGGATTGTCAAACCAATTTTAATTTTTTTTACGGAAACATTTAGTTCCCATCCGAAAATAATATAAAAGTTAAGTTATTAGTAATTAGGTCTTTATTACTCTCCATTCTCTTCTACAACTTCGTATATTACTACTCCTATTTCCAAAAATTGGTTGCTTTTCAACCTCGTTAATTTTTCTTCTTTAGTTTATTATCAAATTCTTTCATATTTAATATTTATTTAGCCATTTTCTTTAACTACTACTTTAAGAATTTGGCATCTAAGCTCTGTCAGACTATTTCAGTTTGGTATGGGTTTTCATGTTGGAGCTAGGCTGTTCATATGCACCCAATTCGCCCAAACCATTTTGAGAGACTTCGGTTATTTGTTAACTTGAATATGTATTTCAATTAAAAACTCAGATTAAAAATTTTTCAGCATCATAATAATTTCCTTTAATATATATTTCCTATATAAATGAATTAAAGGATTGAAAATATGGGAAGCAATGTTATTTTAAAAAATCTGGTGCGCGCAACACACAACTTTCAATTACTGCTCTACTTTGTATAGAAATTATTTTCTGGCAATGTTGGGCTATTATAAAATTTTTGAAGTGCGTTTTAAAACTTAAAGCTTATAGATAACAAATCATTAAGACCATTATAAGTACAAAAAGTCTATTTATTATATCGACGGTAGACAATAAAAATCTAGTTACTTCATCTACTTTTATCAACCACATAACTTCAGTCTCTTTATAGATAAAATATTCAGATGTACTTCCAAAAGCTCTCTAGACATATATAAGCCTTTCGGTTGACGGAATGACTTAACTTCAATTTCAATATTTTAGATTAATGTCATTTTAGTGATATTTCTAGTGGGAAAAGTTATATCGATACAGACAATGAGTAAGTTGATTCCAGAGTAGGCTTTTGAAAGTACATCTGAATATTTAACCTATACATGATAATGGATTGTAGGACTATTAATTATTGAGATGTTATTTTCCGTTGCAAAGTTTACTAAATGAAATTACGAGATTTCATTGCCTGCTATAGATAGGTCAAAAGTTGTCTCACTAATTCTAAGTGGATAATGTTGGGATTTCACAAAGGGAAAATTCATCAAATTATTTACGAATTTAATTTTCTAAAAGATTACTTGATGATTTTTTGGAATATGCGGCTAATAAGTACCTAATTATTTAAATTTTAAAAATTAAATTATTTTAAATATAATATATCTAGAATTATTAAACTACAGTAAATGTATTAAAGCTTATAAACATATCCATGAAATAGCATTTTAAACAATGGCATTGGATTGATTCAGTGAATTTTTTTTCAAACTTGGAAAAAATTTCAAAGTTTATATTTAGTAAGGAAATTTCATGGGAAACATGTGATTTACATTAAATAATATTAGTTTTCTGAAATAATTATTAATTTTTTTTTTTTTTGTCACTCTCCATTACTTTCTACAACTTTATTTATTTGATATTGTTTTTTTCTAAAATTCCCCGCTTTCCAACGATGTACTATACCTTCTGACTGTTATTTCCGGAGATTCATTTTCAACCTGGATAAGCATTTTTTTTTCTCCAGATTACAATTATCATATTCTTTCAAATTTCATATTTGGTCATTTTTTTTTTTTTTTTAGTTACTGTCAATAAAAGAGACTCAATTTCTTTAAATATACCATATTAAAGGTACTTTAGAGGAAGACGCTTATGAGCATTTGACATTTAAGCCCTGTAAAGTGACTTCAATGGGGATAAGACCTAAATGATATTAAAGACCACTTAATTATATAATGATACACCGAGTTTAATCGAAAACGTTAGAGCCATTTTTGAGAAAATTGTAAAAATGTGTTTCACCGTTGATTTTAAGGAAAAAGTTCCTGTAACACCTGTCATATACATATCTTAAATACGTAATATCAGTTTCATATGATTTTTTGTTTTTGAGCTTGATTGTTCACATACACACACACAGATCCTTTTGCGGGACTTGGTTATTTGGGCTCAGGGGACCTCAAAATATATATTTCCATTGAAAACTCAGATTCGAAAATTTTCATGATTGCAATACTTACCCTTACTTACTTACCATTACATTCATAGGTAAGTGAAAGTAATACAATATTATAATCAAAATAAAATTTTATATATATATATATATATATATATATATATATATATAAAAATATATTATATACACATATACACACACACAATATGGTTTGAATAATGGATGGGGTATTTGGAATTAAAGAATATTAAAGATGGAATTCCTAATGATAACAACCAACTCGAACTAACCAACAATAATACAGAATTAAAAAATAATAAAGAAGTAGTTAGCTTAATTTTTATATCATTATTCAATAAAGTATTTATTAGTCTATACTTTTTGATTATTTAGTCTGTCTGTTTGAATACTATGGAATAGAAGTGTAATTATTGTTGAAAACTCCTGATATATAAAAATTTATATATTTTTCACAGATATTTTATTAGCATTAAATAATTTTGAAAAAAAATTACTATTGATATATTATACAATTCATTACTCTTATTTTATTTGCTATTGTTATTAAAATTAAAAGTGTAAAGAATTTAAAGAATTTTTTTGTACTTATATTTTCTTTGTAGTGACAGTATTTTTAATGTATGTTTACTTATAGGAACTGGCAATCAGATGCTTGGTGGTCTTCCCCCTCCTGTACTTGGGCCACAGCAGACAGCTGCACCTCCAAATCCATGTAAGCATGCTATGTCTGTTACTTATCTTAAACAACAAACTGTTTTATAAAAATTATCATAAAATCTGTTGGAAAATGCAAATTTATTAAGAGTCATACTTGGAATTAAGGAAGTGTTCAGTGCAGCAGCTCTTCAACAACCTAAGCCTAATAGGCATTGGGCATCCTTGATGACAGCGTCTTCCCATGTTATTCTTGATCTTCCTCTTTCTCTCCTCGACCAATTCAGTTTTCCAAAACGTAGTTTCTTGGGGATTTCTAACTCATTCATTTTTGCTATGTGGCCTGCCCACCTCAAGTGACTATACTTCATAAAACACATGACATTCATTTCCCCAAAGAGTTCATATATTTCTCTGTTGAAGCGTCTTTTAAACTGGTCAGGGTCCACATCTCTGAATGATAGATTATTGCCTTGTCTCGCAAGATAGGCTTTACTGCTGAGGTGTTTTATCAACCCTAAATAGCAGTGAATGACATCCCTTAGTCGTATTTATTGATATTGTATTTATACAGTTGGTTATTGAGTCCAAATAAATAAAGTTATCTATATTTTTTAATATGAATAGTCCAATTGTGAATTAATTGTTCCTTGATAGAGTTATCCATCTCCTCCAGGCTATTTAGTTTATTCTTGATTTACAATGGAGCCGTATTTCTGCAGTTTCTTCCATCAAGCTCTGAAAAAAAAATTTCAGAATCATACCCAGTCCTTATCCAGATCCACCGTTCATTTACTCCTTCTGAATTATAATTGATATTTGCTAGTTTCTCTCTCATCGAATGAGAGGAGGTTAATAAAAAGAATATTGGATTGTATACCTTATATGAAATGAAATGAAATAAAAAATAATTTTATTCTGGGACTACTGTCCCCTAAGAATAATAACAGAGTTACAAATTTATGTATCTTAGTCTGACATAATAAAAATACCAACTAATTTATTGTTAATTGTTATTTCTATTGTGCAATGGATTGAAATTAAACATTGTATAGATGTAAGTAATTTTACATGTTAGGGGAAGTTAGAATGTGGACGTGGTGTTGGAACAGGAGTTGTTTGAAGGAATTTGTGGATGAGGATTGACGCATGGGGGTAGGAAGTGAGTTCCATAAGAAAGCAGCACGAATGATGAAGGATTTGTTGAAGGAAGCAGTTTTATGGGAGGGAATATATAAGTCTATAGGTTGAGACCTAGTATTGAGAGAGTGGATAGAGGAGCGCAGAGTAAGGAGTTCCAGGATGTAGGGAGGGTTTTTAGTTCTGAAGACTTGGAAAAGGAAAACGCCAAGAAGGAATTGTCGTCGGGAAGTCGGATAAAGCCACTTCAACTCGGTGTACCATAGTGAAACATGTGAACGTCTGGAGATCCCAAAAATGAATCTTATGAAACAATTCATGAGTCTCTTAGTCTCATTTCCAGCCTGGCAGATAGCCCTCCATACACTAAGCAGCCGTAGTCGAAGTGGGGGAATACAAGGGAGGTTACAAGGAGCTATCTGGTTTTTAGAGGAATACAATCACGGAATCTTAGGAGTTGTTTAAGGGCAGTTATGGATTTTCGGGTAGTCTGGGAGATATGATTATCCCAGGAGAGGTTCTGGTCAAAGGTTACTCCTAGGTTTTTGACTGTAGGGAAAAAATGGATGGGGTGGTTATTGAGGTAAAGTAGAGGAAAGTAAGGAAGGGAGCTGATGAGATTTCTGGACCCGATGATAATAGCCTTGGTTTTATCTCCATTCAGCTTTAATTCATTTATTTCTGCCCATCTGTTGATGCAGTCGATGTCCTCTTGTAGCCTCCGGGCAGCCTCAGGCATCTCAGAAGGTTGGAATGATTGGTATATTTGGAAATCATCGGCATATAGGTGGTAATTGGAGTGTTGAATGGCATTAGGGAGGTCACTAATATAGATGGAGAAAAGAGTCGGGGAGAGTGAGGAACCCTTAGGAACACCTCGCTTTAATTGAAGTGATGATGATGGAGGTTTATTCGGTATTGTAACTGTCTGAGATCGATTGGATAAGAAGGATAGGAACCATTTTAGGACGCTATTTGAGATGGGTAATCTTTTAAGTTTGGAAAGTAGGATCTCATGATTATTGTGTCTTTTGTGTGAGATTTTGTAGGGATTTAAATGTGGAATAATGGTCACATAGTCTAGTACGTCTGTATCGTCTTCTAGCAGTTTCTCTTCTCCTCATTAGTTCTCTTATTTCTGTATTGATCCAAGGAGCGGGAGGACGTCTAAAGACACGTGTTTTTAGAGGTGCGTGACAATTGAGAAAATCGAGAAGGTTGGAGGAAAGGCATTCAACCAAATCATCGATGGAGGGGAGAGAATAGATGGGTTCTAAGCAAAGCAAGTGGAAAGAGAATCGAGGAAGGGGCTGATGTTTTCAATGGTTAAGGAATCTAGATCTCTCCAGGAAATTTGTTTGGGTTTAGGTGAAGGAGTAGAGAAGTTTTATGTTATTTCAATAAGACCGTGAGATGAAAGGAAGGGAACTGGAATTTTTGTAGAGGATAATAGGTTATGTGGGGAATCAATAATAAATAAATCTAGCCAAGTATCAGTGGATAGGGTGTGATGGGTGGGTAGAAAGGGTAGAATAAATAGATCTAAGGAAAAAACTAGGTCGGTAAGATATGTTCTGTCCGGAGTGTTTGAAAGGAGGTTGGTGTTGAGATCACCAGCGATAATAATATTTTCGTAGAGAGGAATATATGTAAGGAGGGAGGATTCGAGGGAACATATTTCAATTATGCAATATTTAAGTATTGTGGGCAAATCCTTATAATTTTTCATTAATCTGTGTTGTTGTTTTTTCTTTGAGACTTCATGATTTATTTGATTTTAACGTGCTATCCTTGTACTACAGTTTTAAATAATCCTAACTATCTTAAATTACTTTCTATATAGATTTAAAATTGTTTTCTTAATTTGAACTAAGTTCTCCATGGTCTATCCTAACTCTTGTCTTAAGGTTTATTAGGAGCTTCGCTGCATAATACTCCTTAAAAGACATTCACATCTTGTATATTTGGAAATTATTATGAAACGATTTTTATTTATTTTGTTATTTAATTTACTTCACGTTATGCAGTGTTGCAGAATATGAATGCCAGGCCAGTTCTGCAGCAGAAATTGCAGCCAAGTATGCAGGTATTTAATAGTATATTTAACTTTCGTTTCCTTTACAATTTTTTTAAATTTCAGATATTTAGATAATAGTATACTATATAGACTCTTTAAAATAATTAAATGCATTTTAAATTATAATCTGAGCATTAAATTTTTTGTCAATGTTGAAATTGGTTAAGAAAAGAAATGGTTGGAGAAGAAACAAATTCATCTATGCAGGTTCGATTCCCTTTTGAAAGTTGCTCAGTGATGCTTTAGACAAAAGTTTATGTAGGTAAAAGCCAATTGAATCATTATTCAGAACTATTCTTTGAAAGATAATATTACTTCAATATTAATGTTGCTACTTGGGCAGCTGCAGTAGAAGCCATGGATGGGAGTTTTATCCTGATGTAAGACGGATACCTTGGCTATACAGCCAGGTTCGCTATGAAGTCTTTAAAAGACAATTAAAGTGATAAATGAGGCCAGGCTTAGTTCCATATAAATCTGATTGAGCACATATGGGACAACCTCTAAATAGTGTCAAAGACCTATTAAACAAGTCTCACAATCTGAAAAACTTGAATCAATATTACACTAAGTGTGTCAACAAAATCGTCCCAAATTTATACAGAGAATGCATCCTCATTTTGAGTCCATATTAAAGGCAAACAGATGTAGTTTTCTTTATTAATGATGGAATTTTTCAGAAAATTGAAATTTTTTATGAAGTAATGAGTTCATGGTTTTTGTTTGTTTTATTGATCTTGTTTAGTTTATGTAGTATTTATAAAAACATTTTTGTAATTTTATGTCAAATAACATTACATTGCATCATTAAATAATACATTTTTATTAAAAATCATTAAATGCCTAAGAAAATAATTAATGAATAAACCTTCAACCATCTTATTTTTTTAGGATTATATATTAGTTATTGTACTTATACATATTAGTATACTTTGTGAAAAGTGATCTGATCACCTTATAAAACTATCATTGGTTTATTGCGAAGTCATTAAGTAACATTTTAGAAAATTAAATCATATAGTACATTAAAAATTGTTACCTCTATGGAATCAAAACATTCTATATTTAGTGTATATAACTATTACTTTTTATATGAAATATATAGTAAAGGAAAATATTGCTATTGTGAAAATTTTCGAATCTCAGTTTTACACTTAAATACACGTTTTGAGTTCCCCGAGTCCAAATAACCAAGTCCCACAAACTGGTCTATGTTATTTGTTAAAATTCTAGCTCAAAAACAATGTTAACAATCTAGCTCAAAAACAAAAAGTTGTACAAAAGTGAAATTGCATATAAAGGTTTGTGCATGCCTTTTTTACACCAACATTGTCTAACCGGAATTGGTACTTTATAACACATTTACAATTTTCTCAAAAAGAGCCCTAATGATCTTGATAAAATCATTATATCAGTGTAAAAGTAAGCAGTTTTTTAATATAATGTAGGTTTTATTCTCATTGATGTTCTCTTACAGGGCTTATATGGCTAATTTTCTATATTTCTTCCTTTAAAGCACCTTTAATATTTCTTATTTGTAATAATTAACCATATCACGTTGGTCTCTGATATAAAAAATTGTTAAATATAAAATATGAAAGAAGTTGATGATCAACTAAAGGATAAATAAAAGATTGTAACAGAGAATAGTTGTAATGGTGGAACCAAAGGAATACCAGTGTGCCTGAAAGATTAGAACAGTCTTTCTTACATAACATGAGCTTAATATAATATCCGACAATATTATGTACATATAGATATACAGTTTTTATAAATGCTATTGTTCATATTATTTAATATTTAATTGTATAGATTACAGCGATATAAAAATTAAAATTTGTATATATACCGGTACTTAAACAAATAAAAATATTCACAATGAAATATAAATAAATATATCTGCTTTCTTAATTATTTATTATAATACAATATCTAATTGAAATATACAGTCATAAAAGGAAATGGCTAATATCAAAAAAAAAATATATATATATATATAATACATGAGACAGTTATGAAAAAATATGGTAATTAATTTTTTAAATAAAGTTTATGATTTTTACTTTCCCTTCCCTTTGTCTTAAAATACTTATTTCTGCTAAGAAGAGGGTGGTAAGGGAAAATTGTATGATGTGCGCACCACACCAGATTTGTTTTTATATATAACAGTATTTATGTTATTATGATGTGGTTACTTAATGCTTTTACCTTCAAATATGGTTAAACTTTACAAATATGCTGTTAAAAGTTGTAACTTCCGGAAAAGTATACTTATTGACTTTCCGCAATAAACGAGCTATAACTCTTATATTTATTATATTGTATAAGTTTTCTTAATTTCTCAAGACCAACATGTCATTTATAGCCTGCTCCAGTAATGATTGGTGGAGGTTCTCCTCTTGTACCCAGAAAAACTGAACCAGGTGCATACAGGCCACCATTTATGAGGCAGAGTCCAACTCCGCCCCAGTCATCTCCTGTTTCTTTAGCTCCTCAAAGGTGAGTCCACAATATAGATGTAGCTTAATTTTAATAACATAACTTGAATTACTTTTTTTTCAGATGTACTTTCATGTAGTAGTATGTAGTATGAACTTTCAGACTGAGAAAGTCGAGATTCATTCCGTGGGTTCACCACAAAATAAATTTCAATTACTTAAATTACCTGAGAATCATTATTATTATTACTCTGTTTATTTTATTTTGTTAAACTAAATTACCTAAATTAAATCATTTACATAAGAATTATTATTACTTTTTTTTTTTCTTTGAAGCATTGTGTAGTAATGTCTCTTTGCTTAAATATACTTATATTTTCTCTAACAGATCGCATATTTTCTCTTTTAGGACAATATTATCTTTAACTATGAGTGAGGCCTTAAATTGATTTATTATAATTCTAAAATGCATTTTTCATAATTTTCTGTGACTTACTTCTGATGCTAATTTTTGTTGAATAGTGGCATGGTTTCGTCTCCAGCTGTTGCCCTTGCTCCCTCCCCCGGTGGAATAGGAGCTAGTCTCCGTGCCAGCCTTGCTTCCTCTCCGCAGCTGAACACACCTGGCCAGCAGCCAGCAGTATCCCCATGTACAGTTCATGAAGAGGTTGCATATAGAGAAAAAATTAGACACCTTAGCAAGTATATCGATCCTTTGAGGCGGATGATAGCGAGGGTTGGGAATGATGGTAAACAATTACAATTGATTTTTAAAAAGAAAATTATTTAGTTTCTCTTGATTTTATTTATTTATATTGATATTTTTTTCAGATCTTGAAAAAGTCAGTAAAATGAAATCACTTCTTGATATACTGACAAATGGTAAAAGAATGCCTTTAGAAACACTGTTAAAATGTGAAATTGTTCTAGAAAAAGTAGACCTTATTAAAAGGGTAAGAGCTTTATTTTGTATCTGAAAATAAAAGATTTTTTTATTTTTATTTATTGATGATATTTACAACTGTATTACAAGTAAAAATACATTCAGTAAATGTGAACAAAAGAATATAATAGCATGAAATCATTTGTTGAGAAACTACCCACTAGTAGCACTCTAATAAAATAAAAGATATAACTTGAATGTTGTCCAAAACTTTAAGAGATGATAGTATTTCTTAATTGCGATAGAAAAATTGATTTGGCCTTTAATGCAATGTTGGACAGGAGAAAAGTAAACTTAAGTTTTGTTTTTCATTTTTTTAATGGCAAACAATGGGGTTGCTCAGTGTAATTGTGTTCCAATTCTTTAGAGCATGGTTTCAAACCTGGTCATGGTAGTTAATTATTTATTCTGTTAAATCAGCAGTGTGTTGACCCTGGGGTCAGGACAGCTTCCTGGAGCACACTTAGCACTTATAATGTGAGTTCCCCTTAATTGATTAAAGAGAAAAACCTGAAAATTGAGTGTGATCTCAATCCAATCAACTTCTTGCATAACTGTTCGCCTTGAAATAATATTTCCTTGCAAATATTTTTTTTTCTTGAATTACTATAGTAATTTTATAATAAAGTAAAAAAAATATTTGCAAGGAAATACTATTTCAAGGCGAACAGTTATGCAAGAAGTTGATTTGATTGAGATAAAACTAAAAATTATAGACTTTGAAATATAGATATTGTTTATCAAAAGAAAACGGTGAGGAAGCTTTACTATGCTAGTTAATTATTTATTCTGTTAAATTAGCAGTGTGTTGACCCTGGGGTCAGGACACCTTCCTGGAGCACACTTAGCACTTATAATGTGTGGTCCCCTTAATTGATTAAAGAGAAAAACCTGACAATTGAGCGTGATCTCAATCCAATCAACTTCTTGCATAACTGTTCGCCTTGAAATAGTATTTCCTTACAAATATTTTTTTTTCTTGAATTACTATAGTAATTTTATAATAAAGTAAAAAAAATATTTGCAAGGAAATACATTTATAAAATACATAAGGAAATACATTTGAAATATAGATATTGTTTATCAAAAGAAAATGGTGTGAGGAAGCTATACTGTTCTTACTTGGCAGTCGTATTTTAATTTACTTCTTATATCTAACATTAATAAATTACCAATTCAGAAGTTTATTATTTTTAGAGTGATATGGGTGGAGCACGAGAGCAACATCCTTTGATAGAAGCACTCCGGAACCATCTCCAGTCTCCCGTAATTAACCATACTCTGCAGAGGACCTTTGGACCTTGTATAGAAGCGTTATTTGGTTCAGATATTAGGTTATTTATAAATATTATAATTAACTTAACTGTAATTTTGTTTATTTTACTAATATTTAATTTTATTTTATGCTAATATTTTTAGGAGTAATGTTCCTCCAATTAAAAGGAAAAGGACTGAAGAATTTCCAGATGATATTCCTGAGGTTCTCCAAGGTGAAATAGCTCGATTAGACCAGCGTTTTAAGGTTTCTAATTTTTTCATTTTAGCATTTATTTTTATTTGTCATTGCATGGTAAATTGAAGCTCTGATTTAGATGGACAAGGATTTGTATCCAAATAAATATTAACTTCTAAATAAACTAAATAAACTAACTTCAAATAAAGGACTTCTGTAAATATTAACATGCTCAAGTTCATATAGTGGTGCATTCAGCAAACTCTATTCTAATTTTGAATAATGTATTGTCCGTTTCAGTATTTGTATGTTACTGTCAACATCTCATTTATTATTAATGTCATTCTCGTAAGATTTTAAGTACAAAGTTAATGTACTTATGAAATATAATACATTTTTTAATAAAAAACAAAACAATGAAAGCACACCTAAACCCAATAGCATTCTAGATTCTTGTTTCTTTTTGTACATAAAGAAAAGACATAGAATTCCGTCATTCAAGAAATGAGATGATTTAAGATTTCTTCCTAGATTCCTTCCTAGGTCGTATAAGGTAGAATAGCTATGAAATTAAAGGTATAATGTTATAAATTATATAACATTATCTGCTGTCCAAAGGAAATATGATGCTTTCTGGAGGAAGATTTAATTTAGTAGTTAGGCCATCATTGTATGTAAAAGTAGTAGTAATAGTAGTTTTGGCCATCATTATATGCAAAAGTAGTAGCAGTAATTTTGGCCATTATTGTATGTAAACTGTTGACTGTATAGATAGCTTATTTTATTTTTTTTCTTTCATCATCCCAAGACTCCCACTGAACTCCTATACTGCCCCTATTGTTATATTATAATAGAATGAATGATAGCTTCTTTATTCCACAGAAAGTATCACAAATGAGCAAACAGATATGCTAGAATGAAATCTGAGATAGGAACTTAAAATTAGATTAAATAAAATCTTTTATGGTTTCTTACCATTCCACCCAGAATGTGCCATCAATACTGACTAGCGTCAGTATTTAGCAAAGTGCAATCTCTTGTTCTAAAATAAATAAAGATCTAAACGTTTTACTATACTTCAAAAAGAGGATAGTGTTAAATCGGCAGATCAAGCCGGTATAAATTGAGATTTAAATATTTCAACATGGACATTAGGGTTGAAATTAGGACTGTTCAGTTCCTATAGACTACCCTTATAATAGCATAGTACTTGCCTTAGAGCTGGACAATGTCCTTCACATTTCCTTCTAAATTATATTTTTATTGTGGGAAGAACAGTGGGGTTCTCCAAATTTCTAAGGTCGCCACTGTTGTAGTATTGCTATGAGACACTTATTGCATGATGTTTAAGTCTCTATGAATAATATAGGAGGATTATTATATTGACAGCCATGTTGCAAAAATTAGAATTATTTATTAGACAAAATAAACCACTTATTTTTTATTTTGGTTAGAATCAATGTTCTTGAATGGTAACAGGTACTAATTTTCTTTTACAATTATTAATCCTTTATTTCTCATTTTATTTATAGGTCAGTCTAGATGGGCGTGTGAGTGGTGGAGTACAGTTAGTTTGCTGGCTTGACGACAAACACCTGCCATGCGTGCCACCTATTTCTCTTTCGGTTCCTGAAGATTATCCTGCTACTCCTCCTAGATGTCACCTTTCAGAAGCATCTGCTACCCCATTCCTAACTCGATTGGAGTCTGCTTTAGCATCGCGAATCTCTAAGCTACCAGCCAAATTCACTATTTCACAGTTGCTTGATACTTGGGAAATGAGTGTGAGGCAAGCTTGTGCTCCTCTTCCTCCAGCTCCTTCTTCTACAACACCTTCTTCGATTTTATTAGGACTATAGATATAGTTAATTATAAATCTAATGTTATGGAGGAAATAAGTTGTCATTCTGTAAATATGTAAATAATATTATACAAATGAATTATTGTAAATATTTTCTTAAAAGTTATAAAAAGGTTACATTGCAGAATAAAATCTGTACCTGTTTGGTTTTATCTTATGATACTTAGGCATAAATCAATAGTTAATTTAACATAAAAACTATTTCCAACAGTTAAATTACTTATTTTATGAACCGGTCCATAAATTGTTCAACGAGACACCATGCCATGTAATGCCAGAGTTGTTTTGTTTGATTGTTTTAATTTTCCAGATCTGATAGGATAAAATATAATTTATATATGGATTATTATTTGATGAGTGATGTGCAATATATTAGAATTAAATTTTATTTATTATATAATGTCATTGATATTCCATACTGTAATATATTATTTAATCTTAAAACTATAAAAGTTAAAAAATATTTTTGTAAACTATGTATATTTATCACTGAAATGTGTGATTCGATTTGTAAGCAAATTCTTCTGACTTAAAAAGATTGCTTAAGTGGAAAATAATCTTAAGATAAATTGTACATTGTTAACAAATAAATAAAAATAAAGGTGGAGAAATAGTTGGCTGTAGATAATGCGGTTCAGAAATTAGTAGAGACACACATATTTCTATTACACACATAATTCTATTAGTGAAAAACACAAATAAAAGTTAATTTTATTTTGTACTGACTGTTCAGCCTAATTTTCAGGCCTTTATCAAGGCTTTTCATTCGGAGAATATAAAAAATTATGTTTTTTTGTCTTTTTTAGATTTGACATCTATTAGTACTTTTTTATTAGTATATATTTTTTTTAATTGTATAGTTACACATGTTTTAATAAAACAATGAATTTTAATATCAATATAAAAATTAATATTTTTTTTTATAACTCCCAACTCACTATTTCTGGTATACAGGGTATTTCTATACAATTTCTGCCACAAAATAAAAATCAACCTCTCATAGGCCGGATTCAAATCGGCTTCGCAAGGCATGAGAATGCTAAAACAGGCAATGCTCGGCCATCATGTCCCTTATAAAATATAATATTTAAACTAGATTTTGAAAATAATAGAGTATTTTTAAGTTAACAGAACATCTAACTTCTATTTTTACTTTCATTGATTGCCTATTTGTTTTTTTCCTGGGCCAGAAATTAATGCCAGAGTTCAAAATCCCTGACACCGGGACTCGAATTGATAATCTTCAGTTTAAATAGTAACCGGCCAATGGGGAATGCATGTCTTGCGTTTGCCAGGTTGGCCACTCCGCTCCTATTAAACCTCTAAGTACTGTCTAAATTCTGGGTTAAAAATTAACCTTATTACTTCGCCAAACAATAAACCTGAATAATAAATTCATTAAATAACTTTAAGATTTAATTAAAATAACTTTTTGCAATAAACTTATATGATTCTCCTCACTAACTTATAAATTAGCCTGTGGAGTAGATAGTAAAAGCTCCATATACAAATCTATACAATTTCATCATTACCAATCAAAATTTTTTAAGCTTTGATTTCTCTACATATGAAAATTGATTAAATTTAGCTTCCATGATAAAGCTCTGAGTGCTCATGTAATGTTTGTTAGTTTAATGTTAACATAAATAACATCATTTGTTATTTACACTTACATCATTTGTGATATTTTTACACTAATTGATCCTTGTTTGGTATAGTTATTCAAATACTAATAAATAGAATAAAAATAGCATAATTTGAAGAAAAAAAAAAGATGGTCTTTGCAATATTCTCAGGTTAACCAATTTTAGACTCAATGTAACAGAAATATGTTATGTTCAATTATTTATTAATATAACAAACAATCTTAAATGCATAAGTAATGAAAGTTAAAATCTGGAGCTTTGTGATAAATATCTCTGAACACTTTAGGATACAGAAGTATTTCTTATCAGCTTAGTTTAAACTAGTTGATTTCAAGCATATAAAACTATTTTTGTAGAAAGGTATGAATGGTGTTTTTACGAATTTTATATTTTACTTCATTCTTCATTTATTTTGTTTTTGTTATTATATATATGGTAAGAACGAGTCTCTCATAGTACTAATGCTTCGTGCCCTTAAGTGTGGCAAAACATTACTTCTTGATAAAATAAAAATACAATTAGAAAAAAAGTAATAAATTGAAAGTTTGTTGGAGTGTTTAGTCAAAAAAGTAAAAATAAATAAATATTTATTTTTGTCATTTCGGCCCAAAGTTCAGGCAATCAGGGCTTAGGAATTTTATCCATTTTATTTATTTTTTTGACTGAACACCACAACTAACTTTTCTTCAATTTACACTACAGCCAACCATCAATCCACTATAATAAATTAATTATTTAATATATAATTGACGACACTTTTGCCTATAACGGTCCATATGTTATTGTCCATCTTAGAACAAAGCTTATTTATGGTTAGGATGCAGTGATAAATGACCAACTTCTGCGGTCGACAATTTCGAACTTTTTTTTTTATTGGATAATAAAGAATTCATAGCAGTAACATCCATGGATTATTTACATGCAACATTTTTTTTTTAACATACAACTTTGCCATTAATCAGTATTACAGAAAAAAAAAGTTTCAATATTAAATTTCATTTTTGGGAAAAATATTCATAACCATATTTAATTTAATGGTTAATTTTCATTATGTTTCAGATTTACATATTTAAGACCTGTGCTATGTTCCCTCACTTATTATTTATTTATTGATAGATTAAGTATAAATAAAGATATTTCTCCTTTATTTATAAAGCATTAAATTTTTTATGGCTAAACTTTTTTTTCATTGATTTACCTTATCTCCCCTTTATTTATTTTTTATAGTTTTAAGCTAAAATTTATAAATTTAATGTAACCTGTAGATAAATGTGAAACAAGTGCTAAAATATAATTTAAAGATAAGTGCTAAATATTTTCATTTTATTTATACATAAATTTTATAAACAACAATTAATTTTTAACATTTTCTAATCAACAGTACATTAATTGTTAGTCCCTATAGATTAAAATATAACATTTCTCAATATGAAGAAAAATTTACATTTTTTTTGTTTTAACAAAATAAAATATGAATATCAAAATATAACATGAAACTTCAATCACATGACTGGAACACCCTCAACAAACACCAATTCTGCTATAATTGAAAGGATATTTACCACTTCATAAACCCCACCAAAATTATGATATTTGATGAAACCATAGACAGATTGTATTGATAATTTTTTATCCCTTATAACCTTTTTATTGTAAAGAAAATCATGGGCAAATATAGTCATGAATTAACTTTGTATCTTGAATTGCATATTAAAAACAATTCTCAAGAGGAAAAAGACCCAGAGCATATATGTATAAATTAATAATAATTAAAAAGCTATACTGATAACTTCTGCTGTGGAATAAATAATTTTATTTCAATGAAAAAAAGATCTATTTTATTATAACTGTCATTTCTGCATTTAAATGAATTGAGCACCTAACAGTCAGCAACGTGTTATGTCTTGAACACTAGTAGTGTTACACCTATTGCTAATACCATTAAAGCCCAATTGCACAATACCTGGCTGCAATTATAAAATTGACGAGCTAATATAAAGACTTCAATTTATACTTCTCCCTGACAAACTTTATATATATATACACATTACTGTATATCATTTATTTATATGTATTTACAGTTTTAAGTCATTTAAAATCTCAATAATAAACCAATAGAAGTTGTTTTGTTTTTTTAAAATGTTCAACTTAGATAACTAGATATTTTTAGTGATTAGTTTGTTTCACCTTTATAGATACCGAACAACTGTCAACATGAAAAAAATAAAATAAAAGAGAATTCTAGCTAACGGAACTACAGTGACAAGGGGAGAAATTATAGTTTAAATGAAAAATAAATAATAAAACAGTTTAACTTTTCTTATTAAAATGTACTTTAAAAATTATGCAGTTCCAATAGTAAAAAAACTTCTAATGTGTGATAGTGATTAACGAAATAAAAACTAAGTACATAAATAAGTTATTTAAATTTTTTTTTTGTAAAATCAGAACATAACAGTCTTTGAAAAAATGTTTTTTTCACAAGCATTTTAGGTGAAATAGTGTTTGTTATTTAGGCTTCCCTTTGAAGCTAGAATTTCCTTTTGATTTCTTTGCAGGGTTCTTTTTTTTGTCTTCAGCCTGAAAAAACAAAAAATAAATAATTTAAGGAAATGTTTTAGGAGGTAAAAAAATAAATGACACAAAATAAAAACAAATAAGTAGTCAGAAAAGAAAAATTTACCAAAAACTTAAATCTAAGAAATCTACCTTCTGCATTAAATTAAGATCAGAGGTCATAGACGTAACGTTGGCCTCTAGTCAGGTCACGTCAAGAGTGGTAAGCTGGCATGTACCAGATGAGGAAACATACTCAGACCACAAATATATCAGATTTGATCAGTCTGATAACACTAGTATTTCTGAGAAGTATAGAAATCCTAAGTCTACAGACTGGGAAGTATACCTCTCATACTTGGAATTACATCCAAATGTGGTCCAAAAATTATAAATAACACTTGGCAGCTAGAATGTTTCAACTCATCTTACAGATGCTATTAAGAACACTTATGTGAGCAGAACGATATTCAAACAGAAGTATCCAACAGGAGAGTACTCTGGTGGAACAAAGATTTAGATAGGCAAAGGACATTCACTAGAAGGTTGTTTAATGCTGCTAAAAGATCTGGTAATTGGGAGGTTTACAGGACCGCCCTCACAGAATATCACAAATCTGTGAGGAAAGCCAAAAGACGGTCTTGGAGGAACTTCTGCCAAGAAATATATAACATTCCTACGGTATGTAGGATAAAGAAAATACTTTCTAAACAGAAGGACCAAGGAATACTGGGTACACTCAGGATCAATGGCAAACATACCATTAATAAGCTTGAAACCCTAAGAGAACTGACAATAGCACACTTTTCACGGAATAATACTATGGAGAAGGCTTATATTGACACTGCACTTCCTTGCTACACTGCACAATTAATCGAGAAATGTGGAATAAGGCAAGAAATATTGTTACGGCAAACAGACTGGAATAGGCAGTAAACTCATTGTCTCCTTATAAATCTGCAGGTTTATATCCTACCAGTACTGATTCAAAAAGGACTTTCAATAATTAAATCCTATCTCATAGAGTTATTAAGGGGCAGCTTAGCCTTTGATTACCTTCCTATAGAGTGGAAAGGATCCAAACAAAACCTGGAAAGGGATCATATGACGATCCAGTCTGGGCAGAAGTTCATCCAAGACATTCAGGCCAAAATGAATGTCGCCTTTTCTAATAAAGACATAGGAAAAGATTTTGGACAGGCATAGTAGAGAACAATCAGTGAATTCAAATTCTTCACACTCTAATCAATTCTCGTATCAACCTAGGAAATCATGTGAAGCTGCATGATTTGGTTTCAAGAATTGAAAAATCCGTGAATCAGAAGGAAGTAATGATTGGTACCTTTATACATATAGAAAGTGCCTTCGATAGAACTCCTTATAAAACCATTATGGATACTCTAAGAACAAGAAAAATAGATCCACTTGTTATCAAATGGATTAACAACATGCTGGAAACAAGAATTCTTAAAACTAGGACACACTGAAATGTGGATTAAACCTGGTGGAGGTTGTCCACAGGAAGGTGTGCTTTTCCTAATATTGTGGTGTTTGGTGATGGACTCTTTGCTCGTTTAACTAAATACTGCAGGCTTTTATATACAGGGATATGTGGATGACATCGCTATTCTTATAGGCGGACTACATCATAATGTTCTTTTTGATCTGTTAAAGATTGCGACAGGAGCCTTGGAGGGATGGTGCAGATCCAGTCGACTGAGTGTCAACCCGGCCAAGATAAAAGTTTGCATCTTCACAAAAAAAAAAAGGTTGAAGTAAAATTATCTAAAACTAATGGCATCCAGCTAACAATTAAATTAAGTAAGGAGATAAAACACTTAGGTGTTATGCAGGACAATAAAATGTTGTTTGGAAAGCATGGGGGCTTAAACTTAGGTTTATGCCACCAAGGGCACCCAGCCAACTACAAGGGTTGTCAAACATACAAAGACTTAAAAACATGAATGTACGCAACGCCTAGAGAAGAAAGGACATCGAGGCCACAAAGACAACCCTCTAGAACAGTGAACGGAAGAGTGTCCTGTGCTCAGATGTTCAAAGGAGACACTGTAAACACTCAATCTCAAGACCCATATCTCTCATTCCCTTAACCTAAGTTCAATACCTAGGCTGTATGTCACGGCGGTTAGACCTGTGCTCTTATATTCAAGAGTGGGCCTGTTCGGATCCAACTGTAAAGACTACAAAGATGAACCTGTCTAACGATAACAGATGCAATGAAAACTACTCCCACTGCAGCCATAGAAGCAATGTTAGGTCAATTACCTCTGCAATTTGAGATAGAAAAGAAGGCCTTGAAAACTGTTTATAAGCTACAAAAACTAAACTTATGTTAAAAAATAAATACCCATGAGAGATATTGGAAAATATTAAAAAAATTAAGGCTGTCTTCCTTGCTTACAATGCACTTTGACATTCAGATCACAGAATTATAATGTTAAAATAGACAGCTCAGAAGAACATAAACCCATTAATGGAATTGTTAAACTGATGGGTCACTAGTGACATGCGGATCTGGTGCTGGCTTTTGGAGAAAGGATTAACCAAAAGAAGGCATTAACCAATAACTCACTGTGCTCAAGTTGCAATACGAGCACTGGGCAATTATACAACTAGATCTAAGGCAGTTAAGGATTGTGTAGAAATTCCCAATAACCAATCTACATTCAAGAAGGTAAACATTGAATGGATTCCAGGTCACTCTGGAATTCATGGTAATGAGATAGCGGATGAATTAGTCAGATTAGGCTCACAAACGATTCCCATAGCTCCTGAACCTACCTGTGGAATTAGTCTGTGTCTAATAAATAACAGAATAGAGGAGATCTATGGTGATGAAGACAAAAAATACTGGTGCCTGAAAAAACAGATTCCCTCTAGATCGTTCCTGGAAGGAATCTGTCCAAAAAGAAGCAACCAACTAATTAACTTGAACATTAATTAGTTCACTTAAGAAAATTACAGCGGCATATACTGGACATTATAAACTGAATTACCATATGTTCAATCTCCAGCTAACGGAATCGTCTCTTTGTAGGTTCTGTGGTAAGGAGGATGAAACAGCTTACCATATCACTTGTTGGTGCGACAGGTTTGCTGGATTGAGATTCCAATTATTCGGCATTAATAGGGTGATTGATCCCAAGACAAACAATCTTGTCAATCCAACAAGCTTATTTCAGTTTATCGAGACTGCAGGAGTTACGCTCTAATAGGAGTGACTTTATTAGAGGCTTACAATATGCCTTCATGGCTGCTGTGCATTCTTGCACAAAAAAAAAATACTGAAAACTTCATTTGTTTTTGTGATGCAAATATTTAAAATATTGACAGGTAAATAGCTAAATTTGAGTAGTAGGATCATATTGTTCTAATTAAAAGAAGAGCACCTTTTTAAAACCTCTAATAGAAAAAAAAATTAAATTTTTAGTTTGTATGATTCATCATGCCTCTTGGAAGGTTATTTATTATCATAAATAAATATAATTAAATTTTGACATCAAGTAAACAATTATAATCATAATTTTTTTTGTCAATTTCATCGATAACTTTTGTATTAGTTCTTTTCTCAGAGACTCTTTAATGCTTGAAAACCAAGATAATATAATATACTGGCTAGGAGGAATAAGGTATTAAAAAAATTTTTTTGTTGAGTTCTATTTGTTTCAATGTAGTCAAATGGCAAGAGAAGGTTAATGTAGATGAAGCAGGTTTGAAGTATAAAGACATGAATATCTCCACAAAAAATAATAACGGGATTGAAGGGGGGAGGAGGGGTTATACTAATGGCAGAGAAACCCTATTTTATAAATTATACAACTGTTCATTTAATTTTACTACTCATTGCTTAAATTGTATAACTGTAATTAAAACATGTAGTTTAGATTATATTATTTTTATCAACATAAAATAAACTGAACGAAAATGCAGTTCACACAAATTTTTAATTTATTTAAAAATCTATATTATATATCACACCTTATCGCCAATTTATATAATTATAATTATTTTGATTGTCAATTTGTAACCATAAGGAAGAAATAATTTTGGGAATAAGAAATGTGGTGTCTTCATTATGGTCCGTACCGCTAGTGTCTTCGTTACAATCCATCCCGCTTTGTATATGTAAAATAAAATATCTAAGGATAAACATTAAAGGTTATCATAACTACCGTATTTTAAAGGAAATAAGATCACTTTAAAATATAGAGTTTAATTTTTGCTAAATATGGCAAAAAAAAAAAAAATATATATATATGATAATATAACATTTATTTTAGCTAATCATAGCTCTTTTATGGCATTTATTTAATTTTGACAAATGTTAGGTACAAAGATTAATTTATATGTATCATTATAATCATGGAACTATTTCAGGTGAGCTGATAAACCCTCCATTGAAAATCTGAAGCATTGTTTGCAAAAAATGAAATATGACAAAAATGTTAATATCTGCACTTCATTTTAAAATATACCCTTGTTTAATATTGCTTTTTATTCATCTTAACAATTACTTTTATTTGCTGGTGTTGTTGACAAAATGGTAAAAAATCCATCTAACAGCCACAAACAAAATTAAATTAATGAAAATTCTCAAGAGGAAAAAAATAAGATTGAAAAATTGCATTCAAAATTGTGACAATGTGTGTGGTAACTGAAAAAATAACCTTATCAACCCAATAATTTCTGTTCTTGAAACATTTATATCGGCTGGTTTTTCCCAGACATTTCTGCTTGACTGATCTAATGACCATGATTGTGACTCTCTAGGTACATTGAATAATGCTATTTAGGTTAACTCGCACTATCTTTAAAAGAATATAAATTAATATGAAAAGTTAAAGATCTGTTAAAGTTTCAAGCTGGGGTGATTTAGTGAATAATTAAAACACTAATTAACAATAAACCAGGTGGATATCTCTAAATTGGATATCTCTAAAGAGCTGTTGAATAGGAGGATAATATTAGGGCTGATGATAATATTGGCAGTTTTGATTTTAAACACTGTAAATAATGCTGACAATCTTCTGATATTGTTTTTAGACCAAATTATTTAGATGCATTATATACATATACTTAGAAGTAAAATTTAAAATTAATATTGCTTTTTATATATCTTAACAATTACTTTTCTTTTTGCTGGTGTTGTTGACAAAACGGTAAAAAATCCATCCAATCTTCCTTGTGTTGAACCTCCCTTTGCTTTGGCCAATTTCTTTGCACCATTTCTAACTCTCTCTTCACTGAAGTTTCTATCACCACATAGATATTCTACAAGGCCATTTTCGTCTGGTTCTCCCCATTTCAACTAAAAATTATAAAATGATTTTACTAAAAGTAATATGAACATATAATAAATATTTAAAAAAATATTAGCTTTAATTATACAACAAAATAATAACAGAAATAAAACATCCAATCTGGTTTCAAGCATTGAAAAATCCATGAATAAGAAGGAAATAATGATTGATACCTTCGGATTCCTTACAAAACAATCATGGATACTTTAAGGACAAGACAAATAGACCCATTTGTCACCAAATGGACAGGCAACATGTTGGATACACAAATTCTTAAAACTGAATGAGGAAATACCGTAATGTGGATCAAACCAGGAGGAGGTTGTCCAAAGGGAGGTGTACTCTCTCCATTACTATGGTGCTTGGTGGTGGACTCCTTGCTCTTAAAACTAAACACTGCAGGCTTTTATGCACAAGGATATGCGGATGACATCGCTATTCTTATTAGTGGAAAATATCAGAATGTTCTATCTGATCTGTTGAGAAATGCGACAGGAGTCTTAAAGGAATGGCACCGGTCTAGTGGACTAAGTGTCGACCCGGCCAAGATAAATGTTTGTATTTTTACAAAGAAAAAAATGTAGAAGTAAGACTATCTAAAATAAATAACATCCAGGTAACAGAAAGTAAGGAGGTAAAATACCTAGGTGTTCTGCTGGACAATAAAATGATGTGGAGTACACAACTAATAAAGCTCTAAAATGCCTTGGGGCATGTAAGAATGCTGTAGGGAAGGCATGGGGATTTAAACCTCGGATGGTCTACTGGCTGTATGTTACAGCAATCAGACCTGTGCTTTTATATTCAACTGTTGTATGGTGGCATACGGCAGGAGTGGGCCACAACAGGATGCAGTTGGAAAAATTACAGAGATTAACCTGTTTAATCATAATGGGTGCAATGAAAACTACTCTGACTGCAGCTATGGAAGTAATGTTAGTTCTGTTACCACTGCAACTGGAGGTCGAAAAGCAGGCCTTTTTCTTTTTAAACTTTTTAAAGGCTACAAAAATTAAACTTATGTTCAAAGATAAACACCCTGGAGGGACATCGAGAAATAGTTAAAAAAATTGAGGCGGATAGGTTGCTCACAATGCATTCTGACACTCAAACTCGAGAATTTCTCACAAAGGTGTATAATGTAAAAATAGACAGCTCAGGAAAACAAATCTATTAATGGGATTAATTGTTATACTGATGGGTCACTTATGACATGCGGATCTGGTATTGGTTTCTGGAGAAAGGATAAACCAGAGGCTTCCATATCAATACCACTTGGAAATTATGCAACAGTGTTCCAATCTGAAATACTGGCAATAACTGACTGTGCCTCAAAAGTGTTGCTTGATGAGTTAGTTGGGAGGAGAATCGCAATATATACTGACAGTCAAGCGGCCATACGAGCACTGGAAAACTATACAACTAGATCTAAGGCTGTTGGGGATTGTGTCAGAATTCTCAATGACTTATCTAGACTTAATAAGGTAAACATTTAATGGGTTCCGGGTCATTCTGGAATACATGGTAATCAGATGGCGGATAAACTAGCTAGACTAGGCTCACAAGTGATACCTATAGCTCCAGAACCCATCTGTGGAATTAGTCGACTTAACAAACAGAATTGGGGAAATCTATGGTGATGAAACTAAAAGGAACTGATGCTTGAAAAAACAGATTCCCTCTAGATCGTCCCTGGAAGGAATCTGTCCAAAAAGAAGCAACCTACTAATTAATCTGAGCAGGAGCTCACTTAAGAAAATTACAACGGTATATACTGGGCACTGTGAACTGAATTATCACATGTTCAATCTCCGGCTCATGGAGTCGTCTCTTTGTAGGTACTGTGGCCAGAAGGAAGAGACAGCTTATCACATTACTTGTTGGTGCGACAGGTTTGCTGGACTAAGATTCCGATTAATCGGCATTGATAGGGTGACTGATCCCAAGGCAAACAAGTTCATTAATCCAACAAGCTTATTACAGTTCATTGAGACTGCTGGAATTACTCTCTAAACAAGAGTGACTTTAATAAAGGCGTACAATAGGCCTACATGGCCGTAGTGCTCTCATGCCGCTTTAAAAATAAAAAAAAGGATATGTACAGATTTTTCGAGCCAGCGGCTTGAGCGACTTTCAAGTTCAATATTTTAAATTATTTGGTGCGACCTTGTGTGTGTTTTGGAATAAATTGAGCTTAAAATTCCAGCAAATTACTGTGCAAAGTGTTTAATCTCTCAAATACTGTAAACATTTTAATTATATTATAAGTATCCTCATTATTAATTAATTTGAAATGATATCATGTGACCATATGTTATGAAAATAAATAGTTAATACTTAAATTCTAAAAATGTTAAAATAAAAAAATATTTGAACTAAAAAAAAAAAATCAGACTAAAAAAATTGGGAAATTCTATCCATCCTAAAGGGAATGTACTTCTACTTCCATATTTACTTATACATCTTCGTGGATTGATTTGAAAATTGACATCTAGGACTATTTAAAAATGGTGTAGAAGTCAGGTTCCTATTGTAGCCTGATCGAAACTTAAGACTCTTTTGGATGTTTAAATGCAATGACCCATGAGACAAAATCTATTTGCCTGGAGCGGTAATGTTAGGCACCTGACAACTACATCAAGTTTAAATATTCAAAGATGTCAGTTTTTGTATCAATCTACCAATATGTTTAAGTAGATAAAGAAGTTCATTCTCTCAGGGTGGACGGAATTTCCCAATTTCTGTAGTCGGATTTTTTTTTTAATTGAAATATTTTTTAACAACTTTTTTTTTCATCATAGCTAATGATTTTAATTTCTACTGTAAACTGATTATTTAAAGCACCAGTATAGTTAATTTTCACTCTCAATTTTTTTATTAAACAAAAAATAAAAGTCACAAGTATATTGAAAAAGAAAAGAATTGTGATATACTGAAACACAATAATTTAACTGCAGAGACAGGTGTTTACATAGTGAAGGCTAGAGCCAGACAATTTTTGTATATATTACACCATTATAAGATATATACGTAAAAAATTTAGACTCAAAGATATTGGGACCTAAGTCAAAAATTTTGTCATTCACACTTTTCAGTAAAATCTGGCAACCACTGTTACAAATACAAATCACAAAAGCCAATTACTGTCAGCAGTCCTGATGTTACTCAACCTACAAGTTTAACAGAGGATTACTCAGATTTTGTTTATATCATCCATTCTTGGGCTGGTAACTGGGAGAGAAAATTTTTAATTTATTCCCAACCAAATTAAAGTAAGCAAAAATCCCTTTCATGAGGACACCTCTTGACAATTGATAAATATGTCATATCCCCATAACTCTCCGTTGTGGAGGTTTCAATGTATATATTGAGTTCTTTCTAAGGCCAGCAATTGCCATCTTGTATAATTCAATGTATCAGTTTAATTAGTTAGGTTGAAATTCATGAAGGGGGTCGGGGTGGACAAGCGAACTAAAGTGTGTGCAAAACATGTGTTGTCCAGTAACCTGATAAACCAAAGTTCAAATAATAAAATAATTATGAGTTAGCGTCCTGATGCCGAGTGGGACTTTTTAACTCTGGCATTAATCCCTCACCTTCTTCTCGAATCTGGGAAAACCCTGTTTAGTCTAAAAGACGAAGGAGTGGAAAAAAAAGTTGAAATACATGAAAAATAAATAATAACGTATGAAAAACAACAACATATATATACTAACTTCTATTGTATTTGGATCTGCAACCTCAGGGTTTAAAAATAATTTTCTAGCTTCCTGATAACCCCAATCTTCTGGAATTTGATACTTAGATTTATCAAGTTTTTCCAACAAATTTTCAATAGTTTTGTGCTTTTGCAGTAGTTCAATAGCTCTTTTAGGGCCAACTCCTCTAATCGATGGACAGTAATCACACCCAAGAAGTATGCACAGATCTATAAACTAAAATTATTTTCATTAATTTACAATAAACAAAAAAAAAAAATTGAAAAATGGTTACCTACATAACAAAGTAGAATTGTAAAAAAAATAAGCACCAGGGAAACCATAAATAAATACATATTTCAATAACTTTTACAAAAATAACAGGTGTTACCTGCATTTAATGTGAACATTGATGATAATTATTATTATTTTATCAGAAAGCATGTCATCATCATGAAAAAACAAAGATAATAATAACCATAATTGTGTTCATGATGTGGGAAAAAGAAAATATAGAAATATAATTTTGGTTTATTATTTTCAATATCAACCATTGTGATCGACCAAAAAATTCAAAAACTTAACCCCCTCTCAAAATTTGAGGTTTCACGTTTCAAGACGCTTAGAATTCGAAAAACGAATTCTAAAAAACACAATAACGAAAAAAAAAATGATGAAAAATGTTTTTGTCCGTCCGCCGTCCGCTCATTTTCTCAGAAATTACTGGACCGATTTGTTTCAAATTTGGATATAAAATCAGAGGTCACTCGAGGATGATCCTCCTTCATCGACATTACCATCCGCCTTTTACTTTCAAAATGGCGGCCGAAAAACCTGCGTTGCTATAGACTGTAGCTCCTAAACGAATGTACCGATTTCAATGAAACTTCACTAAAGTCATTTTCTTGACGCCCTTTAAATTTATCTATGTAACATAATTCAACAATAAAAAGCTGGAAAAAAAGTTACGAGGGATGGTAAAATTAAATTCCGAATAACTCAAAAGTTTACACTTTTTTGTCGATAATGTATATGGTTTTTCAAAAGTTTATGAAATTTCCCAAAAACCAAAAAAAAATCGGACAATTAGGAGCAAAGATATGGTCTCCGATTTTTTTAATATGTTCTACTCCAAATGTTATATCCTTTGTTTGGTTTTTAAATTTTGAATATGTTACTGATGTAATGCTATTTTTTTTTAGCATATTACCAATGATTAAAAAAAATAAGTTTAGTCCAATAATCACCTTTTATTTATTTTTCTTTGTAACTATGAAGGTAATGTTACTTTAGTTGTATAATTGTCTGAAAATAATAAACCATTGTGGAATAATTTGCAGCGTTTTTATTGTAAAATAACTTTATTTTTCACTTTAATTTTTCTATCCGCACCTGCTAATTAAATTTATTAACCATCAGTAGATGTGCTGGCTATAAAATGAGAAGAAAAAATAAAATAATATAATATGGCTTGATAGGTATGAGGAAAAGCAGTACCCAGAGGTACCCTTTCCACGGTTTTAATTTACTTAAATAATTATGTAAGTAGGTCCCTCATCCAGACCCTTTTCAGCCGTCTTGTTTGTGGTATTCTCCGGTATAAGAATTGAGGTCATTTGTTTTATTAGCTGGTAGGTATATTTTTTTCAACTTACCATGGAATCGTTTGTAGTACGTCCGTATGTATTATTTGACAGCCAGTATGTAAGGTGTTATTATTCACAAACCAGTGTGCTTGGGTAATTTTTCATAGTACTTTAGACTGAAAAGTTTGAAGTTTCTTTATATGTATCAGCTTTGCAATTCCGTTTATTTGTAATCCGTAAGTCCAGAGAGATTTTAATAGGTTTGTGTAAATATTAAATTTTTTGTCTTTCTTTTAATTTAGAATATTGTCTTAAGAGTACATGCTATTATTCAAGTCTTAGATTTAAAGTAAAACATTTTTTCTTAAAATGTGGACCCCATAGCATCAAACGTCAGCCCCAGATATTGTATTCTGTCCATTTGTGTAATTGGTATGTTATTTAAGTATACAGGATGGCATGTTTCTAGTCTCAGAGTAAATGTTATATGTTGGGACTTTTGATAGTTTATTTAAGTCATCCAAAGTTTGCACCAATCTTGTATTTTTCATAAGTGATATTGTAAGTTAGCTGATGCCTGTGTAGAATCTTTGTTGTTTTTAGGAATTATAGCAGTGTCATCTGCATAGGTTTCTGTTAGGTAGTGAGTACTTTGAGGAATGTCAAGTGTGTATGTGATGTACAGTAATGGGGATAGCATTGATCCCTGACGTAAACTAGCTAAAATTGATCGAACTGAAGATAGACCTGAACCATGCCATGAGAAAAATCTATCTGAAAGAAAAGAATGAAGAATTAGATAGTAAGTGCATGGAAGTATAGTCTTAAGCTTGAAGAGAAAACCCTGGTGCCAGACTTTGTCAAATGCTTGGGCAACTTCCAGAAATATTCCAATTGCATATAATTTGTGCTCTAGTACTATCAATATGTGGTCAGTTACTCTATGTAGTTGTTGTGTTGAGTGTAGTTTTATGAATACGAATTGATGGTCAGGAATTATTTGATTGTTAATATTTTTAACAGTCGTGGATACAATAATTTTTCATATAATTCAGAACATACTGGTAGCAAACTAATTAGTCTATAAGAGGAAGGATCGTTTATGTCTTTGTCTGCTTTTTTAATCATTGTTATGTAAGAGTATCTGAGAATGCAATTGTAGTAAGAAACACTGGAGCCTTCCTAGGCATTTATCAAGTCATGTCTAGGAGTTTTTATTTTCTGCAATTAATTTTCTATACAACTTCTGACGGTAGGAAAGGTGATAGAGTGAGCTGTATAGGTACGTTTAAATTGTTTTGTGCATAATTCTCATGTTCTAGATTATTGAAGTCCGTATGTGATTCAAAAACAGAGGAAAGAAAGTTAGCGTTCGACAGCCCCTGTAATTTGCCATGTGTAGACCACTATAATTTGCACAAGTAGCAGGCTTATCCCTACTTTGGAGGTCATTAAATCCAACGCATCGCATGCACCTTGGATGGTGGTTACAATAAGATTTAGTATGTCGATATTGTTGACACCTTGTACATTGTGGGATTGTTCTCTTTTTGCGTAGTTCCTCTATTTTTATACTTGAATAATAAAGGTATTAGATATTGAATATTTCTTTTCGAAATGTTTCTTGGTTGATATCAACAAAAAAACATAGGTAGAGGATGTTTAAATCGGGACAATGCATTTACGATGTTAGTGGCTTTGTATCCCATTTCTTTCAGCTCTTCTTTTATGATAGTCACAGGTGTCGCATGATGCAGATTTTTTATGACTATTATTGGACATCTGTTCTCTGGGAGCTGACAAGTATAGAAATCTCCACCTTCTAACCTCAAGTCTGTGTTAATTTTTCTATAGATTTCGGGTGTATCTGGGTATACAGCCGATCCTTTCATCGTCGATTTTGTTTTTGAATGTTTTTGGCCCAGCTATTTGTTCTAAAAATAAAATAAGTGCATGAAAATTTTCCACTCCATTAATAAAATTGGGTGGAATTTTGTTACAATGAGAATTTATGTGTTAATTGTTGTGCTGTATGTATGTGGAAATATCATATCTTTTGTTCTCAATTTCTTTGTTTGGTACTTTGAGGGACCATTTCTAGCGATTATCATTAAAGCAATTCTGGTTGGCATGGATCCAATCAGATAATTTATGACTTCATTACTGATCTCATGATTTCACACATCTTCAATTGTTTCCTTTAGTCTTTCTTCATTTTTAGGTTTAATTGTGTTAATTTTTTTCTTTACGATCCTCCAAAAGTTCTCTATAAGGTTTGAATTAGGGCTGTTATCTGGCCATGATAACGTTGAGATCCCATAAGTTGATAAAAACTGAATTACTTGCATAAGAACAGAATGAAAAACGAAAAAATATGCGAGAATTTCAAGTGGCAAGATGGTTTTAATCATTAAATATATGTAGTCACAGATTTGGTTCTGTGGCGTGGAACAGAACCATCTACAAAAATAAAGTTCTGACAGTGTAACAGGTGGTTTCTCTTTGAGGGAATCAAACATTTTTTTTTTAAATTTTAAACTTCTTTTCAGCATTAAAAAATAACATTATTTGTCCAATTCCAAACTAGAAATAACAGCTCTAATTCATATTCATTACAATAGTGAATATGTCTTGAATAAAATCATTATGAGGAAAATTTGTAATTTTTTAATTGGTATTACATAATTGTTCCTAATTTAAAATTTGTATCAATGATTAAAATTTCGTTAATAATTAAAATGAATAATTCGGTGGAATAAATATTTATTTACCTCGGCTTGATTCATTCCTAGACCTTCAAGTACTTTATCTAAATGGAATTCTTGAATAGGCATTTTTCGGGCTTCAGAGAAAGTTAAATGTCTCAAAAGTACCGATGTTCCAAAGGTAAGAGCATCCATATCTTCAGTGGCTGAAGCAAAAACTTTACCAGCACGAACTAACGCAGCACATTGAGCTTCTGCTTCACAGGGTGCCTGTCAACATAATAACGTTAATTCTAACTATTAAATATAAAAAAGTAAAGAATTTATAAAAGATGAATTCATGATTAAATTACATTATTTATATCAATATTATTAAATTATATTATTAAAAATGAACGCTCAAAAGAGATAAAGCACACTATCATGGTGTCTAGCAATTATGGTAATTGAAATTCCCGTCTTTTCCAAAATTCCTAATTAGCAACATTTTTGCTCTAAATAAATCAATGCACACTGAAAATGTTTGCAAGTTTTTAATTTCACTTATCTATACATGTAATATACGAGGGTTGAAAGTTTCCGACCCAACAAAATTACAATACATTTTTCTGATTTTTTTTTTTTTTTCAACATAGTCTCCTTGTAACTTAAAAGATAGCAGCCGAAAAACCTGTACTGTATAGTCGTGGTAGCTCCTAAAAAAATTAACCGATTTCAATAAAAAAAATATCTTTTTCTTTTTAAAGTTCTTTAAATTTATCTTTATAACATACTTTACTATCTATACAACAGCTTAACATAGAAGCGAGAGAAAAAGTTATGAGGGATAGTAAAATTAAATTTCCATATAACTCAAAAAGTTTACACATCTACAAAGTTTACAAAATTTCCAAAAAAGTTCTAGAAATCGGATGATTTCGTGCAAAGATATGTTGTTCTAAACATTTTCCACTCATTTTACTGTAAAGCTGATATCCTTTGTTTTGGTTTTTGATCATTAGAAATTCTTACATTAACTGAAGCAATCGAGATAATTGTTGTCTATATTTCTTAGCAAATTACTGATGTTGGAAAAAAAAAAAATTATTTGGACCAATATTGGGAATCACCTTTTATTTAGGTTCCTCTATGTGACAAGGAAAGTAGTGTTCTATTTGAGATATAGCTGTTTAGAAATAATCAACCATTATGTAATAATTTACACAATTTAGGGCTTAAGGCTTAAATACCTAACTTTCAAAATTTCTATCTCTTAAGTACATTTAATTTTTTTGTTTGATTTAAATCACCATTTCACATTGTAACTTGCTATAAAAATATGAAGGAATTTGCTAATTAACTAAAGTAGAAATACGGTATTGTAATAGAGAACCAAATAAACCCGAGCATAGACTAATAAGTTAGAACAGGCTTTCAAACGTAACAAGAGGTTAATAAAATACGGGCTCTGATAATATTATTATTATATATACATGTGTGATTTTCATAAGTTTTGAGTTGGTATTATTTAATATTTCATATATAACTGCAGCATTTGACAGATCTTTCATTATCCGATCCTCGTCCCAATGGAATTCCATCCCTCCCCACATCCATCCCTCTCCAATACTATCCGCATCTTTAAATCCCACCTCTTTAACAATTTGCTATGTATCCAGTTTCCCAAAACTTTTAAATAGATAAGTTAGTAATAGATAATTTATATAAATATATATATATTTTTTATTATATCATTTTAGTATATATTTATTTTCTAATATTAGAGGTTACGGCATGGTTTCTTATTATTTCTATTTGTTTTTTTGTTTTTTTTGTGGTTAGGCTCTCTGAGGCTCTAGGCTCTAAAACGTATAATTTTATTCTACTATAAGTTTGTGTATTATTCAAAAGGAACTTGTCCCAGAACAAATTAACAAATTATTATTACTGTTAAGACCAATAAAAAATAAGAATAGTAGTAGTGCATAATTATAGAACTACTAATAACTTCTAATTACTATTACAACAATTAGCTATTAGTTTAATTGTCCTAAAAATAAATGTAAATTTACACAGCTAGAATTAGAATAAAATAAAAATAGCCAAAATGGACTATCCCACAGATAATGAAAATCGAAGAATGAAATTAAAGTTTAGGACTAGTGACAATTTTTCAAAAGATTTTACAGAGAATTCTGGACCATATGTAATTCCTGACTGCTTGACACTGACTATAACTGAAAGTGAATGATCTGTATACCTAATTCAAAATCTAGCTGCCAAGATTAGTAATTCATTAGTTCATTAGTCTCATAGTATGTGTTTAGTACGTTTGTGGTTGTATCTTATCAGTAATGTCTTGTCATAGTCTCATATTTTCTTCACGATCAGGTCATCTGAAACGGAAATAAGGGAAAAATTTGTTTGTGTTAGTAAGAGAAATGTTCAATTGTTGGAACGAATAAGCCTGATAGCAGATTTGAAATTATGGTGTGCCAAGGATAGTTATTTACTATCCTCATATATGTGTTTTGAATAACTTCTAATTTCTGGTAATTGGAGTCACATGTGTAACTCCAGATAGTAGTGATATATGTAACTATAGGTATATGACATTTTTGATAAGGATTAGTTAATTTTTTTGTGATAGATGGGAATGTCAATTGAAGTGTAAGGGTAATTGTTACTGATGAGAAGTTTTAATCTCTATTGCATTTGTTTGGTTAATGTCAAGGATTTCTCCAGTTAAAGTAATTGTTAGACTGAGCTCAAGTGATGATGTTTCCATTTATACTTACATTAAAGGTTATTGGCAATCTTCTCATTAGGAAAACAAATATATCGGTATTTTTAGACCTCTAACACCAACAATGAATAGATAAGTTGAATAATGAGAAGATAAATAATACCACATTTTTTTCTAATGTGCCACATCAAATTTTCAGTAGTACACTATATAAATTATACACCCATTATTATTGAATTAATTTGGCTTGACATAATGATTTTCTTTGATAATACTCATTATTTTATTTAAAAAGTAACTTTTGATAATACCTTTAACAATAAATGTTAATAATACCTTTGGATAATAAATTTTAATAATACCTTTAAAAAATAATCAATTCACCTCAACATAGGGAACCCCCATCAATTTTAACAGCTCCTTACATTCATTAGCATGTTTCTTTTCAACTTTTACAAGACGCCTATTAAACTTATCCATTAAAGTTGCATCACCTGAAAAAAAAAACAAGGATTCTTTACGTACTACAAAATTCTTTAAATAGATACTGTAAAGTTGTATTATTGCTTACCAGCTTCTGTTGCTTTATCCAGTTCTTTTTGTGCTTCTTCACGCCTTTCCGCTCTCTTTTCAAGTTCGCCTGATTTTAACTGAGGAGGTTTTCCATCAAATACAAAAACTGGTTTAATTCCATTTTCTATTAACCTTATTGTGCGATAGAATGTACCCATTAAATGACTGAAATATGACATAATATCAAATGAGAAAAATTAATAAAAAGGAATTTAAAGATTTTAAAAAAATAATGGTATATGTCTAGTAATCTTGTGGATATAATTGGGTTAATAGGGTTTTGCATGATTTTATTATTTTTACTATTATTATTCAGCATGTATTAAAAAACATTTTAATTAACATTAAAAAAAACTAGAATATTCTATCATCATGGGTTCAAAAAATATTAATTTTCTGTACATAGGAATTCTATAGGAAGCAGTTTCAAGTAGCCAGAAGGTTAAGAATTCAAAACTTGCCAAACCTCCTCCCTATTCAATTATTTTTCGATCCATCACAATTAAGTTCACATTTCAGGACTATAACTCCATCTTGAGAACCTTTTATTTTATTCTAATCAGGGTTTAGGCAATTCAACATCATCTTTGCCTAAACATTAACAGGATTAGGATAAAAGGTTCTGAAGATGGTGTTATAGTGAACAAAACAGATCGGCTTTAACGTAATCATCCTCCCCCCTCGGACCATTCGGTACAGCAAATATTAACCTTTTAGAAATTTTTTCGTTACTAAGCCCAATAATTTTAAAAGCCCATTTGATTCGCCGCGATGTAATTGCCTCAGTTATATTAACCGGATACAATTCACACAATTTAGAGTTGTGTAACCGTCCGAACTCTCCTGTTAACTCATCCTTATTTTACGCAATATTTTGTTTTCAAAAACCTTAGAATTTAGCTTATTTGGTCGGTACAAATTTCTGATCGATTTCCATTTTTTTTTTAGGTAATTTAGTTATCTTCTTAATAATTGTGGGTAAAATCAAGAAAAAAATGCATACTTTTTGAGTGATTTACAAATAAAGTTTCTTTTCCTTCATAACTTTTACCTTTTAAATTTCAGGGAAATGTGACTATTTTTCCCACCCGAAGGAGATCTTTAAAATGAGGGATCAATCATTGGATTGGATGAAGAAATGATGAAGTTATGACGTGACAAAAAATACCTTTGAGAAATAATATAAAAAGACAACATTGGGGTTGAGCTATAAATCTTTATATTTCACTTAAAATTAGAAATTTTTCAGTTTCTAAATCTGTTCTACCCGGGGAGCCCACGGTCACCCAAGGGCGGTGATAGTGCATGAGCCTCTTTCCAAAACATTTTATTTCTCTTCTTAAAAACAGTGTCAGTAAAATTAGAATTGTAAAAATGGTAGTTTATTTACAACTGCACTCGATGTGATCTATTTCATAATTTTCCCTTATCCCCTGGTTTGAAAGTTTTTCCCAATCGAAACTGCACAAAATATCATTACCCCGTGATTTAAACACAAATTAATTATACTATAAATATTAACTATCTTTAATAAAAGAAACATATAATTAAGGCAATTTAGTATAAAATCTCCCCTCCCTCACCCCTCTCCCCCGATGCATCTGAAAAGAAGATGGCTCGTGATCTTCTAATTTAAATACTTTATTAAAGTGCTACCAACGGGTAGATTCTCTACGTTTATTTTCATGCTATTGTATTTCTCTGTACACATTTACTGGATGTATATTTACTTTATACAATTGTATATTTCATGTATAAATTTAAAAAAAAAAAAACTTAATATTTGACTAATCCGCTCATTTCACAAAATTTTATTCTTCAAAATTTCTCAAAACTATATCAGTTAGAAAAGCCCTATTAACCAAGAGTGTCTCATCAACCCATTATAAAAAAGGGTTCAAACTAATGGAATTATGGAGTTAAAAGGAACACAATCATGTTTTTGGGATCTCTGGAAAATTTTTTGAAAATAGATTGAGCCAGTTGAAACTATTCGCCTCAATCAGATAGATGAGTAATAATAAAACAAAAATAAGTTATTGGTAAATGAATTAAGATACCTAGTAGTTTCTCCATCAGCTGATACCAGCTGTTGACCTTCACTCCTTACAGCAATAAGAAATTGATACAAAGACATGGAAGCATCAATAGCCACTTTCCTGCCTGGAACATAAAATGAAATTTCCTAAAATATAATAAACAAATTAGAAGGATCAATAAAATTTACAACCTACCAAAAACAAATTTGTCATAAAAATGTCCTTTCACTAGAAGAACAAAAAGTCATAAAAAGAAAATATCAAAAAGGTCGTCCTTCCAAGAAATAATGAGCATTTTTAAACACCAAGAATACTAACACCTAAGATCCTTGGAACTTCTATCCCCGATTTAGTATGCTACAATACATATCAGACAACATGCTCACTTATACTAGACTACATTTTCTTCTCAGCCAAAGCAACAAGCTCCGGAAGGTGTATTCCTCTAGTTGCAACGATTAACTATCAACATTCCTCAGCACAACGTGTTCCATCCTTAATCAAGAAGAGAAGTCCGGAAGAGTTGAGATCTCTTTCCTGGCAGAATAGTCTTTTTTATATCAATTTTCTTTAAGGCTCTCCTTTAATTTGTGCACCACATAAATTTTCACAACAGTGTATTATTTGGGGTGAAATGATTTGATTTTAACCATTCTGTTGTTCATTAATAAAATCACCCAAAGCTGAAGGTTTTTTTTTCTAATCTCCAAACTGCCTCAGAAGTGTTGAAATAATTTTTATCACATTATAAGAGTTAAGTAGAGTGCAAGATAGCTCAGAGGGTAAGCACTTAGTTGCAATACTCAAGATTCTGGTTTCAAATCCGGCTGGGCAGATAATTTTTCATCACCCGTAGATCGACCCTGCAGTCAGAAGACCCTCCTGGGGCACACCCAGCCTATATTAAGTGGATACTCCTAACTAAATGATTAAGGGGGAAAAGCTGGCAGTTCACCTCCCTGTACAACTGTTGGCCTTGATAATGGTACTTCCTTACACAGTACTGGTTCCAAGACCCTTCATGGGTTATAGTGGTACAGGTATAATAGTGTAGGACATACCAAGAATTTATAGATATTGAAAAATAAAAACAAATTAAGTGTAACTTAACTTACCTTCAGCATTTGGATATCAAATAAAAATAAAATAACCTATTGTACACAATGATGTTATCAAACAAGTTCAGCCACTTCTGGTATTCTACAAACCATATGATTGATGTTTTCTAGGTCTATCTGTCATCCAGAAGTGACACTCATGAACTAGTTCAGTAATATTACTTTAATAAATCATAGTTCATCTGATATAGTAACAATTATGGTTGAAAGCACTTCCTCCAATAACCAACAGGGCAATCAGCTTACTATTATTAATCAGCTTATCATTTTCTTAATACCGATAAAAGGAGGGGTCTGAGAAAATTCTATATATTTCCCGTAACAAAAAATAAAAGTTATAAAACAATAACTTTTTCAAAAATATAAAGATAATTAAGTAAGTAAGGCATAAAGAAAAAATGAAGAATTAAATTATACTAAACTATTACTTTATTAATCTGTATCATTTTCAAAACTTGCAATTAGACACAATAAATTACACTAAAACCCTGATAAAACTCTTAGGGCTTAAGATTATGATTAGTAAATTAACTTACCAAAATAACTTTTGATTTCGCTTTCTTTAATAGCATGAGGTGCAGCATCAGCAATAAGTTTAGAAAGTCCTAAAATTCCCATGATCTTCTAATAGTCTTCAAAAACGTAGAACAATAAACTGAGTGAACCAATGGTTGATTTTAAACTTAAGTTTACCAGAAGAAACAATAATCGATTTTAAACTTATGTTTACCAGAAGAAACAATAATCGATACTTTTATAAACAGAAATGATGATTAAAAGTAATTTATCAAAATTAAATAATACAATTATTCCATCCTCTTTCTTTTTAATCATCGCATCCTTTAATCATTTAATCCACCTAATGAATTGATAAATATTACAAAATTTCGGGAACCTGTATCAATAATATTAAGCCACCATGTTTGTTTCCCACTATTATTCCAATCAGCAATGATTAATTGTACAAAAAACTGAGCGGGAAACACCTAATAGTCGAGAGTACAAACGATACATCGATAGTATATCTTTAAACTACCTATACGTTACTTTAAACTTTAAAGTAACAATATTCACAACGATAATGAAAATGTAATGAAATCATTACTAAAATATTTGTTTATTATCCTAGGATTGTTGTCCCTTTAGGACAAATTATAGATACAGAAAAATGCTTTTCTGGCCATATATTAAATTAAATATTTACAAATCTCATTAAAATTAAAATATTGGAGGAATAAAAAAACAAACATACAGATATATAAAAAACAAACATGGGAAAATAAAATAACATAAGTAAACAAAATCATTTCTGGGGGAACTTAAAAAGGTCTGTTATCGACATTTCATAATCAATCGGGTTGGTAAAGAGTAGGTGCTTAAAAAGGCGTTTGGTTAATAATAATCGTGGGTTCGGCAAAGAAGTAAGTTGGACTGCACTTGTTATCCAGTTACGGTGATTGGTGAACACAGAAAGTAGGCCAGATGATAAAGCAAAAGAAGTTTGCCTACGGAAAGTATCTTTCTTCCACCAGACAAGATCATTGGGTGGCATATAGAACCCTGAATCGGAAGGTAAAAGAGAGCAAGTGTCAAAAGCCAAGAATAAGGATCCATGGGAAAAGTGTTGCCAGCGAATAAACAGTACCCTAGGTTTTAATCCGAGAGTCCTGGGGGGTACTAAGAAAGTTGCGGATATCAAGAAAGGGAAATATCTTATCTCTCATTAAGGAAAATCACAATAAAACCTTCCTTAGTGAGGTTAGACCCCAGTTTATGTATGAAAGAGATAACTCAGGTTCTGAAACAGTTGAACGACCGGTTGAGGTGGAGGAGAAGGATGTTCGGCGGGCGCTAGCGAAAGCGAAAACTGGCACATCTCCCGAACCAGGCGGAGTTGCTATGGAGCTCCTGAAAGCTGGCAGTGCGAAACTAGTTGCTCTTCTGACAGAGGTGATTAACCTTGTTCTAAAACGAGAGGATATCCCAGATGACCTGACGGCTGGTTACATATCGTCAATATACAAGAAGGGTGATCAAAAAATATGCGGAAACTATCAAGGAATCTGCGTGCAATGTTCCGTGCCAAGGGTTATTAGAAGACTGCTCAGAGATAAGTTAGAGCAGGCATACATTATTCCGCGGGAGCAGGCAGGTTTTACGGCTAGTCGATCATATACGGACAACATATTTGTTCTTCTCCAACTCACAGAGAAGTCGCAAGAATGAATCAGGGACTCCATACGGCTTTTGTAGACCTCAAGCATACTATACTGTTTCGAGAGAGAGGCTGTGGGTGGCATTTGAAAAAACAGGTATTAGTGGTTCATTGATAAGGGCTGTGAGGCACTTATATGGCAACGACATAAACCAGATAAGATGCAGAAACCACCTTTCTGAGCCTTTTCATGGTACTAAGGGGTCGAATCAAGGATGCAGCATGTCACTAACTCTCTTGAAGATATACTTGCACGAGGCAGTAAAGCCGTGGAATGAGCAATGCGGAGACGTTGGGACATTTATTAATGACGAGCAATAGCTGTTCTTGTTTTTCGCTGATTACCAGGTTCGAAAAGACCGATTACATGGCCATAGGCGATATGGATACGGGAGCACTTCTAGTGAACAAGGAAACCTGCAAAAAAGTTAATATTTTCAAGTATCTGGGCTCTTATCTCGACGTTACATGGTCGTCTCAACATGACGTCAGGAGGAAGGTGGAGCAAGCCTATAAGGCTATCCGAATCCTGCATCCAGTTCTCTGGAACACGCAGCTTTCCACCGAGAACAAGCGTAGATTATTCATAGATGTAGTGGAAGCTATGCTTGCGTAAGCCTCAGAAACATGGACCATGAACTCTCATTTATACTCGGAGGTGCAGGCGATCGAGATGAATTACTGGAGAAGGTCTTACCAGATTTGATAAAATTAAGAATGAGGTAGTTCGACAGGAAATGGATGTGGGTACAGCAATTAATGAAAATATCGGGGCACACTGTCTAAGATGGTATGGGTATGTGAGAAGAATGCCGGAGGAGTGTTGGTAGAGCCGAGTCCTGGCTTGGGTTCCGCCAGGGAAGAGAGGACGTGGACGGCCCAGAAGTAGGTGGATGGAGAGGGTCCAGAAGGAAATGGCGGGTCGAGGCCTGGAGGAAGAGGATTGGAGAGATAGAAGCGCGTGGAGTTTTGCGCTGACTATGTGGAGAAACCCTTAGATAGAACGCCTATAAAATAAAAAGTAGATAAAGAAAATTAAAAAAAAAAAAATTATTAGCATAGTTTTTAAAAATTATTTTCGATTTCTGTCGAGTAATGTAAATGTGTAATTAATAAAGCATTTTATCTTTATTTTTAATGATAATATGAATATTGAATCCTTTAAAAGGTTTATTTTGCTATTTTAATTTTTTTTTTTATAGCAGTTGAGACAAGAAAAGCCATATCGAGTGGTGTTAAGAGGCCTGCACTCAACCACCCTTATATCCGTTATCAAGTCTGCCCTGGAAGAAATAGGGCACGTTAGGCACATATCTTGCGTGTTATATCCAACGCAGAAATATCGGTTACCTTTATTCTTCGTTGATTTAGAGCCTGCTAGCAACAACCCCGAAATATTCCAAGTTAACCGGCTTATATATTCAACAGTTAAATTTGAAGAGCCTAGACATAAATCAGTGATAGTGCAATGTACTAAGTATTAAAAACTGGGTCACACAAAGACCTATTGCCATCATCAGGCCAGGTACGTAAAATGGCGGGTTACACGCATCTGACACTTGTCAGAAACCTCTAGACCAGCCTCCTAAATGTGCTCTTTGTGGTGAAGACCATCGGGCAAGCTACGAAGGATGCATAGTCTACAAAAATCATTACAAGCTGAGATCACGAAACATAACCTTAAAAAGCCTCAAAATTAAGAAATTTACACCCAGCCACCAGAAATTGAAAATATTTCAAATTTCTCTGAATTACAGAAAAAAATTATCAATGTCACCAAACAAGAACCGTGTACTTCAACTGACCTGGACCATCCTCATCAAGACTCCAGCAAATCTTACACCCAAACCACCATCAAGAAGCAGCAGCCTCAATGCCAGGCACCACACCTCACTATCCAAACCTCATACTCTCAATCCTTAATCTCATCCTCCGCGTCCGCAAATTCCCGCTCATCATCTACCATTATGAGTTAAATTACCGCCACAGCATCCTCCTCCATCTCATCCTAATATCCAAAAAAAAAAATGCACAAGTACCATCGCACACAATGATGGATCCCACCCTCAGTTAACACTCCTTACACAACATAAGAACCTATCCACTTCACAACTAACATCCATCTGACATAACTTCCACACTATCATCCTTCCTATTGGACCTCCCAAAACACTATAAAACCTCTTATCACTCTACTCACCAGAATCCTGACCTAAATTCTGTTTAATTTCTCTGGATAAGCACTAAGTCCCGAACTATCCTTTTATGGAACGCTAATGGACAACACAACCAGCAAGACGAACTTGACATATTTCATCATGACAAACACATTGATATTGCTCTACTGACTGAAACTCATTTCACTAAACGGACATATTTTCACATAGGAGACTACATTACCCAGACAACACTTCCCACACCGGTTCTTGCATCCTTATACATAAATCTTTACCCCATTCCCTTATTCCTTCCACTCCAACTGATGCCATTCAATCAACATCTGCAATCCTTCCAACTCGCCCTTTCCATATCACATTCTCAGCTATGTACTGCCCTCCTGGTAACTCCCTCTCCTATAACCTCCTTGATTCCTTATTCCAATCCCTCGGATCACGCTTTATTGCTGGAGATTACAATCCTAACACCAAAGATGGAGTTGTCGAACATCCAACTCCGTTTTAACGTAACACTCTTTCACGTTTCTTATCTTCCAACAGTTATTCAATCCTCTCGCCCATGAATCCTATATATTGGCCAACATACCTCAAAAAACGTCCTGATATCCTGGATATATATATCACCTATCAGATTTCCCCCTCCCAAACCATAATCAACTCCCTGGATGATCTTTCTTCAGACCATATTCCAGTTCTGCTTTCACTACCTAAAAACTCCTAATCCATCACCTCCAAAATTGATTACAGGCCGAGTAAACTGGGACAAATTTCATGATGATTTGGAAAACAAACTAGACTTAAAAATTCTGCTAAAGACAAAAGAAGACATTATTAATGTAGCCATAGGAAAACTAACTGCATCAATAACATACAGTATAAATAATAACACCTTTATTAGGAAGAATGACAATTCACAAAAGACTAACTTGCCACAGCATATTCGTATCTTATTAAAGAAAAAACACAGAGCAAGATCAAAGTGGCAAAGACCTAGGTATCGGACAGATAAAGCTCATTACACCCAACTGACTAACAAACTAAAATCAGAAGTTAAAAAATTCAAAATTTACTAAATTTCACTGAAAAACTCACCGACAAATAATTATGAACGACTACTAAAAGGCTCTGGAAATTTGAAGACTTTAACCATCCACTTCTTACCGAAGCCGAAAACTGGTCCAAATCCGAATAAGAAAAAATCCTAATATTTGCTCACCACCTCTTCAAAACCTTCAGTCCACATCCCGATATTCTTAACCCAAATCACCTTGAATGTATTGAAGCAGAACTACCACTCCAAATGTCTCTTCCACCTAAAGTCTTTCATCCTTCAGAAATATCCATCATTCACAGCTTACCTTCCCGCAAAGCTCATGGACACGACCTAATTATATCCCATATCCTAACTATTTTACTAGTGATTTTAAGTAAAATACTTTGTAATTTGTACTTTATACTCAGAGTACTTTTTACCCATCGCTAGTTTCAATTTGACAACATTGTTCTCGACATTATTGTGAGCAATAATATAAATTCTTAACTAATCAGTCCTCCAATAACTGGCTAAACTTTAGGTCAATGATGCCTCCAACTGACTCAGGAGCGCACGTACAAGGATGGGGAGATGGCAGTTCGCCCCACAAGAAGGATTTAGTTTAATTTTAGTTTAATTTATGTTTTGTTTTTCTTAATTGAACTATTAACTAGCTTACTTTATTGTGAGTTTTTTTAATAATTTATATTTTAGGAAGCACCAAAAGTTAATTCATCCCGGACGCTAGATGGTCTAGATATCCCACTGGGAAAAATAAACTGTATTTAGATGAGCTTCTTGTCAAAATTATAAATTCAGAAAAAAATATCTGATACAATTGTCATTTCAGAAATAATATCCAAGTAAAATTACTTAAAAAATAATTCTTTAATACATTCAACAATTTTTTTCTCAAGTATTTCAAACCAATGTCTAGATTTAATATTTTTTTAAACTATATATTTAAAATTTCCTGGCTCTTACTGATACTAATCAGACTCATTTTTCTGGGAATCAACAAACTTTTGAAATGATAATACAAAATTCACAGTAAAATAAATCAGGATTAATGCTAATTCTCAAAATAGGATTTAATAAAAAAATGTATGTATGTGAGGCATAAATTGATTAAAACTATGATCATCATTTGAAGATGGTTGATAAACACATAGGGATATGAAAAACTTTTCATTTTCAATAAAAAATAGGTATAATATTTGGTTGAGACCTAGGAAACTAACCCATTAGTAGATAAAATTACTCTCTCCTCCACTTTTCCCTCAGTCTCTCCTTCTTCACTTCTAGTGATTGAAGCTTAGATTTCAGGATTTTCAGAAATTCATCAGTATAGTCTAACAGACCACCAATCTTAACCTTACATTATCAATTAGAATGTCATTCCAACTGATCATGTAGGGTTTGCTTAGCAGTCAATAGTCAATATTTGAGGGAAGTTAAATTTACAAACATTGTGTAAACTAAAAGATGATTTACAATTGAGCATAATCGAGATAATTTATATTAAATCCATAATTATTAAATACAAAATAACAAATTTTATTATATTCCAACAGTCATACGATAAAGGGGAACGTTTATTATAATGATGATGATGATTTAATTTTTTTATTATGAGTACGAGTTTGAAAGATCCAGTCTGCAATGGAAAATAAAATAAATTGAATAGGGCAAAAAATATATTTAAAACAAACAAAAGCATATCCATAAATTTAGGATAAACTAGTATTAATGAACATAAATCTTTAATACAATTTTTAAAAAACATATATCCACAAGCTGATAGACAATTATTACATAATATCAACAAATAAAATAAATAATTTAAACTAGTTGAGTATATTATATATACTATGCAACATTGGAATAAATTTCTCAAGGAAGTATTCTCGTTTCAAGAAAACAAGTTGAAAAATAAATTTAAAACAATAATTAACAGCGAAAAATTTGAATTTGTTTGTCTCCAAATGTGTTGCTCTTATTATTGTAAGACAATCTTTGAGACTACTGATTTTCCCCTAAAAAAAAAAAATAATAATAAGAGGAGATTAATAAATTAAATTATTTATAGAATATTAGTAACAAAATATTTTTAAAAATTATTATTACAAAAAAATAATAAAAAATATTGGACTTAACTTACTCCATATTTCTTGATAACTCAAAGTAATGATCGATCTTTTCTATTTCTGTTAGTATTCTTAAAAACCCTTGATCATGTGTAATAACAATTAGCTGGAAATTTTTTCTTATTGCATGTGTTTCCACTAACCTGAAACAGAATTTATTTTTAATAAAGTATTCTAAAAATATGTAAAAACAGTCTGTAGATTATGAATATATATATATATAAAGTTTTTATTAGTGCTAACATGTGGGTCATCATGAAACGTCGATATGTAGAACAGTCGACTAACTTCCTCCAATATATATGTACATAATATAATCTACAGAAATCTCTTTTTCTAAGAACTAACAAGTAAGGATGCCCTAAACAGACAGCCCCTACACCTGGCTCGGGAAAAGTGGGCTGGAAACCCACCTTATTTGGATTTTGTCTTATCTTATTGTTGCATAGACTTGGGAAGACTTCAAGTCCTTACAAAACTTGAAAGGTATATATTGGGCATAAACAGGATCCATGAGATCCACTGAACTAGTCAAGAACTTAAAGAAAAGAAATACCACACTGTTGATTATAGTCTCCACCCTAGGGAATCATACCTTTGGAGTCAGCTTCATTGTTGGATGATTGAGAGAGTAGTTATTAGGTTAGGATTCAGCCCTATCAATGAAAATTTGGCTACTTTTCACATTGAAGGGACATTATATAATTTTAGTCTCATAACGTAAATTTCTATGCACATACAGTAATTTCAAACTAAACCTATTCCACTTTCGAATATAACCCAGTCAAATAAATACTTTTTTGGGGGGAGGCCCTCCCCTTCCTCCTCTTTATGGCTATACGGGATTTTCCTGGACCAGGGAGTGAGGGTGGGGATTTAAAAGACTCTCCCGGCACCGGGACATGACCGTGACTATTTTTATCAAGTAATCTCATGTATCAGGTTGCCGGGCAACGGTGGTGCTGTGCACACATGTTAGCCCATTTAGCCATCCCGCCTACAGTCAAATTAATACTAAAAAAGGAGTCTATCTTAAAAAAAGTCAGATAATTGAAATTGTTTTTATATTTGATTAGGTGTATTTATAGAATACACTGTTCCCATGACAGGTGTGAGGGCTGCCTCTTTAGGGTATCTTGACTTGTTCCCTCACCTGAGGGGGCTTACTAGGAGAAGTTATAATTCAATATAAGTTTTATATTCATATGGCAAATAAAAGAAATCCAAGTTTCCGACATTGAATGACTTGTCAGTTTGCCGCAGTGCTCCAAAAATCACTGGAATTTTTCAACTTTTTCGGTTTACACTAAATATCTCCTTTCTAAAGCGATATAGCCATCAGCTATACTGGAGCTGATATGTAAGGAAAAATGATCCAATTTTTCAATGTGGATGGTCATTTCATTTATACAAGAAGTAAAAACCTGTATTTGCAAGATAAGCTAAACCTTCAAGATTAAATAGATCCTGTTAAATACCAAAGGTTCACTTGTTAATGATGGCTGATAAGAAATCTCTTAGCTGCAATATGGTCAAATAGAAACATCAAAACATAAAAAAAAAATACGGAAGTGGATTGCATTATCTATCCTACATCCTCTCAATGGTTCATCATCTTTTAGAAAAACCTTCAAATTCTCTGGACAAGATTCAAAACTCAAAGAGAACTATGGTAAAAAAATAACTAGGAAACAGACTATTAAGTTTTCAAAATTTATACATTTCGATTTTTTCACAACTCACAAGTGCTCTTTCAGTTTTGAACAGAAGGATTCATTAACTCTACTTCGAACCTCATCCAGAGAATTTTCATGAATTGACATAGATGCGGCATTAAAAGTAACAAGAAAAACTGTAATTGTTGATGACCAATTTCAGTAAAATAATTGGAAAACAGTAAAAATAAAATTATAAGGATTTTTTAAAATTCCATAACATCAATTTGTTTATATGTTTCCTATAAAAGTTGTAATAAATTGTGTCTGCTTTAATATTTAATTTAAAAATTTACGCTAAGTCACCTATAAAACAAGATAATTAGTTAAAAACAAAAAAATATGCTTTTTTTTGGCAAATTTTTAAAACTTTGCGCATTTAAGCTGTTTGAGATTAAATATAAGCATTTTTTATCCATCTCGCTTTAAAAAGTAGATATGTAGTCTAAACTAAAATGCTTTCAAGAGTGGAAACTTGGATTTTTAATGTTCACTAAATACCTAACAATATTAAAAAAGAAATTTGAATTACCCGACCTTATGCAAGGTCCCTTTTTTTGAGCTAATTTGAGTGGACTAATTGGAGTAGAATAAACACAGATAATTATTCTTTAACATCTCTATATCATGAGAAATAAAAAAATCATGTTGGCTGCCCATTAGGTCTCAAGAGACAATGATATCTTTCAAGAATATAGGAAGCGCCTCTACCAGTAATTATATCCCTTTTTTTTCCTGTCTTGTTTTAAATGTTATCATAACACTTGTAAACATGTGAAACTTACTCTTTTAGTGCTATACTTAATTTCTCAATATTCTGATGATCAAGGTTAGTGGTAGGTTCATCAAGAGCAAGAACACCACACTTTGATCCAAATGTTTCAGCCAGTGCTATCCTTATTATAAGAGATGCAAGAACTTTTTGACCAGCACTGCATCGACCTCTCATATCAAGTTCTTTTCCATCCTTCATTTGAACAACTCTGTAGTTGTAGACTTTTCTTTTATCAGCTGTAACAAAAAGAAAATGTTTTGTAATAGAGTAAAACTATATTAGAATAGAACAAATTATGATCCTTACATTCCCGTAATAGTCTGGTTTTATTACTATTTATATTTATACACCTATTATTTATATTTGAAGTTGTTCCTTAAAAAATATTAAGTTTAAGTTGTTCCAATTAAATGGTGGCAAAGAGGTATTGGTGTACGAACTTTCAGTCTTCTACCACATTGTTCAATATTCCTAAGTTGTATGGTAATAGTACTACAGAAATGCTTTTATTATATTATTTTAATTGTATTAACAAGCTCATCTATGTTGTTGCTGAAGAGCTCCTCTTGTTTAAATTTTACATTATGTTGCAAGTCCCGACCAGTGGCGGATCCAGGAATTTTCTCAGCGGGGGGCGCATCTCTGTACCAGATGCTTCCCCCACCCATACCCGTTCTCCCACCACTACCCATCTCATATTTTTCTACCATCCAGAGGAGGGCTCGCCCCCTGGCAGAATTCGCTAGTGTTGGTCATGTTAATATTTTTTTTTTACATTACATTAGGAAATTCATCATCTATGAGGATGAATTTTCCCAACATTTCTCTTGTCTTTAAATATCTGTTTTTGTCACTTTTTTCCATTATCCAAGAGTGCCCTGGCAGAATTCGCTATTGCTGGTCATGTTAATATTTTTTTTTTATTACAGTAGGAAATTTATAGTCTATGAGCATGAATTTTCTCTATATTTCTCTTTTCAATAGCAGCTTTTTTGAAAAATTTTTCCAGCTTTCAGGGGAGAGGAGCCGCCCCCCCGGCTGGATCCGCTAGTGGCCTCGACTAGGGATGGGTCAGATTGTATGTATCAGATACTTTTATCTGATACTAAAAAGTATCTAAATACAACCCAAAAGTATCTGATACACATGCTCACATAGATACAAAATGGTTGTCCGTCCAGACATGCCTGATTGATATAAAGGGAATGTTTAGTTGTGCACAATTTCTTTAGAACTATCTATTCATTTATTTTAATTTAATTAAATACTTATTTGTAGATAAATATATTCATGTTTATTTATTTTTAATGTAATGTTAATTTCGGATATTTTTATCTGATACTCCTATTGGATATTTTATTTGATTCTGGTATCGGATACTTTTATCTGATACATGTATCAGATATTTTTATCTGATACTCTTATCGGATATTTTTGTCTGATACTATTATCGGATATTTTTAACTGATACTCGTATCGGATATTTTAATCTGATACTTTTATCAAATATTTTTATCTGATACCTGGACTTGATACACTGAAGAGTACATACCTGAGCGGTATGCATACTGCCACTAGGGCTTGATATCCCAATAATTGTATCCGATATTTTAATTCAACTGTAATTGATTGCTGATCGGGTTTAATATTTGTAATACCTAATAAAACATATATTATGTATATACCTACATATATTTCATTCCTTTATTATTTAATTTGTTCCTGTAATAAATACTTTACACCATTTTAAAATATAATAGTTCTAATGACTATATAGTTATGTCAGGTAGTATGAAGATATGTACATAATATTTAAACAAAATATGTTTTATTTTTGAAAAAAGAATGGAATATATTTAATTAAGAATAAAAATACAACAAATTCATGCAGAGAAAAATTTTGCCTAATAAAAGATACTAAAGAATTTTGTAACAATAAAAAAAATTCTTTATAGGTAAGTTTAACATACACAAATATATCTATATATATATATATATTTTTTTTTTCTGTTGGCAATACAAACCATGTAGATCTTTTGTCACCTTTACAAGTCTGCTCCATCTCTGCCTATCTTGGTCTATTTTTTTTCCACTTATCTGCACAAATATCTATTGCATCTTTGTTGATTCTATCTATCCATCTTTTTGGCCTTTGACGTGATCTTTTGCATTCTATTGAGGCATTTATTTTTACGTAAAGGCTTCCAGATGGATTGATAGGAGCTAACTGCCCCGTTATCTTTATCTCCGTGCCTTCATATCATGGGATATTTATATAGTCCAGTTTCTGTAAGCAGTTCTTTATTGGTCTTTCTTCTCCAGGTATTAGTACTCTGATTCCAGATATATATATATATATATATATATATATATATATATATATATATATATATATATATATAAAACAAAAATAGCTTAGAAAAAATTTAACTTTTAATTTAGTTAGTTTGAAATGAAATGAAAATAAGGTGGACGTTATCGACATATTATAATAATTAATTTCATTGCCGAAAAAAATTTTTGACTTTATAACAACAAACATTTATTAGCATTGTGGTAAACATATTTACATCAAAACAAATTATTTAACAACTTCAATAAAATCTCAATTAAACTGAGTATCTAACAGGTAAATATTAATGTCAATATTTTTTATACATATCTTATACAATTAAGCATTGGATTGATATTAGTTACTGAACAATAAAATATATATTAAATAGGTGAATATATATATTTTATTCCTTCAGTGCCATATTTGTCCCTGTAATAAATACTTTACAATATGTTTAACTATAATAATTTTAATAACTGTTTAAGTATGTCAGGTACTATGCAGATATGTATACATTTTTTAACATCTGCTTTTTTGAAACAAAATATGCTTTATATCTGACAAAAGAATGAAACGTATTTAATATAAAAATATATAAATTTTGTAGCTTTTTTTTTTCATATCACCAATTCACAATAATTTTAATAATGTTCTTCTTTTCTTCTTTTTTGCAGGGACTTTAAATTTAAATTAAAGTTTTGAAAATGGGAATAATTTTCCTGGAACGTCAACTTGATCATGTAATGCAATAAATAAACCAATTGTTTGTATACCTTGAAGTTTTTATTGCCAAAAATAAAGAAGTTTAATAATGTGATTTGTTACAGTTTGATGCTTTTAATGCTTTTTTCTGTAACTGTATTACATTTTAAGACTTCTAATTGGAATTACCATCAGTTAAATTATTAATAATACATTAAAGGAGGCGTTTGAGGGTTGCCTGGGAAACTTGCAGGGAAGCAAAACCCTTGTTACAGCTATATTCCTTGATCCCTGATCCAAGAACATAGCTTTCCCATTAGATAAAATAGCCGAAACATTAAAAAAAAAAAAGTATCATCAAATTGGTGCCCAGCCAAATTAATCAAGATTTAGCAGAAGGTCCTTCAAGTGGTACAATTCAAATGAGTAGTGATACTCCTTCGACAAGTTCTACTCTAGTAACAAGGAGGTAATTTTGTTTTATTTAAAATATATTCTCATAAGCTGTTAGAAGCCTTAAAATTTAATACAGTAACAGAAAAAAGCATTAAAAGCACCAAACTGTAACAAATCACATTATTAAACTTCTTTATTTTGGGCAATAAAAACTTCCAGGTATAAAAACAATTGGTTTATTTGTTAAATTACATGTCAAGTTGACGTTCCAGGAAAATTATTCCCATCTTCAAAACTTAAATTTCAAGTAAAAAAGAAGAATTCACATTATTAAAATTATTGTGAATTGGTGATATGAAAAGAAAAGCTACAAAATTTATATATTTTTATATTAAATAAATTTCATTCTTTTATCAAATATAAAGCATATTTTGTTTCAAAAAAACATCATTTAAAAAATGTATAAATATCTACATAGTACCTGACATACTTTTATTTACACAGTTATTAAAATTATTATAGTTAACCATATTGAAAAGTATTTATTACAGGGACAAATATGGCACTGAAGGAATAAAATATATACAGGCACATATTTAATAAATATTTTTTGTTCAGTAACTAATATCAATTCAATGCTTAATTTTCTAGGATATGTATAAAAAATGTTTACATTAATATTTACCTGTTAGCTACTTATTTTAATTGAGATTTTATTGAAGTTGTTAAATAATTTGTTGTGATGTAAATATGTTAACACTAAGCTAATAAATGTTTGTTTTTATAAAGTCAAAAGTCTTTTAGAATCTTCTATTAGGAAAAATTATTCTCTGCATGAATTTGTTATGTTTTGTTTTTAATTAAATATATTCCATTCTTTAAACAAATATAAAGCATATTTTGTTTAAAAAGTTGTGTAAATATCGGCATAGTACCTGACATAACTATATAAGTTAGAACTATTATATTTAAAAATGGTGTAAAGTATTTATTACAGGGACAAATTTAATAATAAAGGAATAAAATGTGTAGGTACATATTTAATATAGGTATTATTATATATGTTATAATACCTAATAATATAAAGAGATATTAAAAATATCAAACCCGATTAGTAATCAATTACAGTTCGATTAAAATATCCATACAATTATTGGGATATCAAGCCCTAGTGTAAAAGTAATAGGAAGGTAATGACAAACTACTAACACATTTGTATCAGATACAAAAAAGTACCCGTATCAGTTGTATCTAGATACCAAAATTCCAGTTCAAACCATCCCTAGTCTCGACAACTGTCAACAATCTGATTGTCAGCAAATGCGAACATTGTGTAAAGAATAGGGTACTGTTTCCTATGGTCGATTAAAAGTTCCACAATTCAGGTTTAGCTATTCTCAGAGCCTAATCCAATGAGAGTTTAATAGAGCAAAATAGTAGTAAAGTATTATATAAATAGTACTTATTACAGACTTAAACTACATTCTGCAACTATTTCATGTGTTGTCTTTAACTCTTTAAAAATCCTGACAAGAGAAACTCCCCACAGACTGCATTGCACTAATATCTAATTGCCTCTTAGCAGGATTCATTAAGTATCCTCTTTTCTGACTCTGTCAAAAATGTTTTCTAGATCCACAAAACAGATACAGAGCTATTTTCCTTGTTAGATAATTTTTTAGTTATAACCTGCCTTAATGTAAAGCTGAATTACGTATGCTTCTTGAGTTTCTGAATCAATATCGCTCTGACAGGCATGATTCTTGCTTCTGGAATTGTTGAGTTCAGTTTGATAAGTATAATAAACAAAAATATATCTATCTATTAGCTCTATTCTTTATTAAGCTCCTTGCTTGTAAAGGAACACAACCATAGTAATCTTCCAATGAAATATTCCTGATGATATGTAGTATTCTGATTATTTGAAAACCTAATCAAAAGATATCTTCTCTTTCATTGTCAAAACATAAGCACATCCCTTAGAAAAAGCAGGAAAAAAGGTATTAAGGAATGAAAACTTTATATGCACAAATGTTAAAACATGTATATTCAGTATGATCGGAAAGTTTTTTTAATTCCCTAAAAAACTAAAAAAAAATTATTGAAATAGGATCTTATTAGCTGAAACACAGCCTGTTTAAATTTGGCCATATGTTTCTATTCATTATTTTCAATTATGAACTATTGTTAGCGACAGAAAATGAAAAAAACTCCTCATCAAAAAAATACATTGATACATTTACTTATCATTTGTCCACTGACCAATATTTTGTATTAATTACTCGCTTGGACCAACTAGTTATATATAATTGACATAAAGTACTTCTTTTAGTTTCTAAAACACACAAAATGATTTAATTCCAAAAAGTATGTAAAATATAACAACCTTTAAGAGCTAGTAAATATATAAAATAAAAAAAAAATGGTAAACTGTCAAAATTCAAGATACTAAGCTGTGTATTACAGAATTATCCACAAATATGTTATTACACTAAGGCTCGAAATCGATTTTGTACTAAATATAAGCTCCTGCCATGCTAAAAGACCATGAATGGGGTACTTTTGGATTCAAAATTTAATGAGGGGAATTATTATATCATTAAGGACAATTAATGAATTATTATTAGAAAAATATGAATTGATGAAAAAACATGAATTATTAATTGAATGATTTATAGAAATTTCATAGCTAATTTACTATCTCAATTTTATAATTTTATTTATACTATAAACTATGTGTTTTTTTCCTTAGTTGTTCTTTTAAAGGATCATAAAACAAAAATATATTATTTAAAACATTAAATCGAAAGAGATCATTTTTTTTTTCTCTTTATAGTAACCAATAGATCAAGACTTACAAAAAAAAAGCAAGAGATCTTCAAAAACTGTATATTACATTATAAATATAAATATTTTGTTTCCACATATTTTTTTGGAATTCTTTTTTAAAACAACAACCAATAGAAGTTTTACAAAGAAGTTCATACATTAAAAATATGTTTCTGATTATAAAAAAACATGGAATACTGCAATTCATGAAGGGTCTTATGTTCAATATTTTGTATGAAAGTACTTGGTCAATAGTGGTGCAAGGAGGTAATTTGACTAAGATCATGGTGAAGGACCAGGTTTCCATCCCTTAATTTAGTGGTATTTGGGGATGAGTACACACTTTAAGGAGGCTGGATGGCACATCTCCATCCAAGAGGGCCTCCTTACTCCTCACCCCAGGGTAGAACCACAGCTGGTCCTGTTGATAAATAGTCCTGCCTCAGCCAGACTCGAACCCAGAACTGGGTGAATTGTAATACAGTATCTTACTCACCCAGCTATCCTAATTTCTAAATCATAATACTTACTAAAAATTTGATTTCAACACACCTGATGTGGATCCCTCCTGTTCAGTGTGGATTTGAATTGAATCAATGTCATTTCCTGAATATATTCTTCTCCATAGTTCATGAATGACTTTATTGATTTGCTGCATACGCTCATTGTGGAATGTGATCAGAGCATTATCAAATGCTACATAGTACTTGTTCAAATCTTCAGCTGCAGCATCAGTAACCTTTAATGAAATGTTTTCATCTTTAATTTGAAAAATACTGTAATTATATACCTTGAAAAATTTATATAAAAAAAAAAGGATTAATTTCAGGACCTGAATTGGTATGTGAAGTAAATTTTTCAATTAAAATGGGTAATAATGAATTGTTTTCTACAATATACTACTGGGATCCTCAAATATGCTATATTGAGCCAAGTTAGTCATTTTGGTGCACATTCCTCTAAATATTAAATAAGTTAGAAGTTATTGTACAGAAATATTTTTATGTTGATAACCCATTGAAGTGAAATTATATACTAATTAGTTTTCCCTAAACTAAAGTCCCTTAGTTACATTAATTATTTTAAGGAGATCTTAAGTAATAAGAGGAGTTGCAGATCAAAATATATTTCTATATATTTTGGACTGAAATTATAAATTATTTTTCGCAATAAATTTAAGCCTGAGATTTTTTGAATCAAAACAATATCTCAGAAAATGAACAAAATGCATTTCTTTCTGAAGTTCCCCATTTGTTCTTGATTATTTTTTTTAAACGGATATCTCATCTGTTCAGCCAACAACAGAATAGAAACTAATAAATATAATCAATGAAGTATTTGTTTTTATTAACTAAATATCAATGACAAAGTTTCTCTCTTAATTCTTCAGGGCTAGAACGAACAAGATACAAAAGGATATAAAAACTACTAAACACCTACACAACCCACAAATTTACTACCTTCCCTCTCTCAACTCTCAACAATCACCTACCACCCCTTTCATATACAAATTTCTCTCTTATATTACAATTGTCTTAAAAATACTAAAAATCCACTATTTCAAACTTAGGTCTTGGCCTAAAGTTCCATAACAAACTGTCCTACATTTTCAACAACTTGAAAGATCATATACTCTTACAACACTGATCTAATGTAGTTTACCGGATATCTTGCTCTACTCCGAATTGCAATAGTTCCTATATTGGTGAAACTAAAAAACATCTCAAAACCCATATCTCCCAACACAAAACATCCATAGCTTCCCAGAACCATTACGCTTCCAAACTATCAGAACATGCCTTGACTCTCAACCATTAGGCACATATTAAATCTGATCAGTCACAAATAGCTTTTATATATATTATTAATTTATTTTTTCTTTCTTTCCTCTCTCTCTTTTCTTCCAGATTTTCTCCAATTCACTTTTATACTGTCTATGTCTTTTAACTTTAGATTAATATCATGCTATTTACTTTTTAGACTCTTATTCTTAATTTATTCATACTCCTGACTCCTGTTCTTAATCTTTTCTTCTTCTAATTCTTTATATTATATATATTTGTATTTTTAAATTATTTCTGTATTGTATGATCTATCATTTTTATTTTTAAATTTATATTTTCCTTCTATGAATGATCTTTCATTTTCATTTTATATTGTACTTCTATCTATAATTTCTTAATTTTATCTAGTATGTAATTTTATTACCACCTTAATTTACTGTAGTTTTTTCCCCACAGTACAGTTACTTCTTATCTTTCTGTGTCTCTTATTACATATCTAATATTATATCGAACTTTTTCAAGTTATTAATTTGTAGATATTAGTAATCCACAACTTTTGACAATCCATATATTTATAATTAATCATTTCATAGACATTATGTTTTTTCATGAATTCACTAATATCTTCAAATTTTAGATGTTGTAATATTCCTTTGTTTTTCATTATTGTTCGTTACTACTAACCCCCTTCACCTGCCAACAATGTGAGGTAATTATCCTTATGTTTAATCTTATGACCTGACAATTTTAATCAAAAATCCACGTAAGTTTTTATCACTTTTCACTTTCTTAACACTCCTCTTATGCACATTATTTTTTATATATTTTATTTTATTTTTTATCCGTCCATAAACTTTTTAATTCATTCTTTTTTCTTTCAAAGTTTCCTTAGGATTTGTCAGATTATATTCACAATTACATTTATTATCCATTTATTTTAAAGCTAGCTTATACTCATCACCTTACTTAATTAAAGAGAACTAGTAATATGGTTACTGCTTGCCATAAGATCCCATTTGGCACAAGAGACAAGGAGAGGCGTGAGGAGCAGTCCAACAAACAATGTATAAAAGAATTTTATGTTTTAACTTTTCCAGAAGGGGAGTAGTATTGACTTAGCTAATAATAGGATATAATCAGTTTATTAATGAGTAAATTTCACAATTCTTTTAATTTGTATCAACTTTTACTGATCCCTGATACACCCCATCCCTGTACACCACAAATTAATTTAAATTTGTTATGACTGGTTCTAAGGGTCTGTGGGTGCCTGCAGGAACTACTTAGGTCTGTTTACTCGAGATTGTTTGATCGACTCAACTCAGTTAAATCTATGACATTTAATGAGTCATCAAGGGTGAAGACCCTGTGACCCCCCTCCCCCCCCTGTGACCCTGTGACCCCCAGGTGAAGACTGTACCGGGTTGTAGTGCCTGTGATGATGATAGTAGATAAACAGATAACTATATATAGATAACATGGTTTGGGAGATGGTTGAGGATTTTATTTTTTCTTTCCCTTCTTCACCTTTCAGGCTATACGTTTTTTTTTTTGCAACAGATGGTTTGCATACAAGTTTGCCTGCTTGGCCACTTTGCCCTGTGTAGGTTGAGGATTGCAGCCACGGAGGAAAAAAAACTTTCTATTTTTTATTTTTCTCTGTGATTGCAACACCCAACCAACTTCCCAAATAAATTAAATTATCTTCTTTAAATTATGACCAGTGAAATGCTAGGAGATGTAAGAGTAAGGTCCGCCCTATTTCCCAGAAAGACCCATAGTAAGTTTTTTTTTTTTAATCAGACTAGAACATTCTTAATTAATTAAAAATCTATTCCTGCTACATATGACACCCACTAAACAACTAGTTCAGTTGATTCAACTAAACTGCCTCATGTGAAACTGACAATAGGAAACGATTTATATTACAGAGTCCTTTTCTTCATGAATAATATCCAAACACATGCAATCAAATATATCAAGATAACATATCTAATTCAGAGCTTAAGCTAAAAGTTCATTCAAGATAAAATTTTAATATAATGATCATTAGGATACCTCTAAGTCTATAAGTTTATCCCTGTAATTTTTATCAGCATTCTTAAATTGATCTTTATTCAGTTCATCCTCAATAGACCTCATTGTATTCTTTAGTTCTCGTAGTGCTCCCTCTGTAGATGACATCTAAAAATTTAAGAGAAAAAAGTTTAGGATAAAATAATGAAAAATCTTAACCATTATAGCATGTTTTAGCACAGAACAAATTAAATTATGTCACATGAAGAAAAGCCTGGCTCTGAAGTATACATCAATCCTGAAGTATGTGCTTTCAACAAACAGAACTTATAAATTGGTCAATTGCCCATCTCTGCCGCTAGGTAGCTATAGGAGCACTCAACAACTATTCTACGATATCAAAGGTAGCAAATTACAGTATAGAAAGAAAAGAACTGTAAATTGGTCTTGGAAATGGGTATTCCTGTGAAGCTAATTCACTTTATATGCATGGCCTCTGTTTTCTGCATCCATAAAGGGTTTAGACAAGGAGATTATCTTGCATGTCTGTTTTTTAACTTGACCCTAGAATATGCAGTAAGGGATCTTGAATCCAAATGGGAGGTTCAATTTCCAACAAAAGTGCAATGATCCTACCTAGTGTATGCTGATGACAATGACGTGATCAGAAGAACTTTTGAAGCCATGAAATATTGTATTATTGGAGCTTCAATGGTCAGCTGAAAGAATAAGGTTCGTTATTAATGAGGCAAAAACAAAATATAACACTACAGTCCTCCCATGAAGAAGAATCTTACATACATATTGGGTGATATTCCTTTTTATAGAATTGTGGAATTTATTTATTTAGGATTACAAGTCAATTCTCAGAATGAGATTGCCCAGGAAACAGATATTACTACGGACTAGCAGGGCACATCAAGATAAAAGTAGTATCCTGAGCCACAAAGACCCATTTATGTAAGACATTAGTAATGCCTGTACTCACTTCTGCTGTAGACTGCTGGACTATTACAGAATCATGAACAGACTCTGCTAAGATTTGAGAGATTGTTGGTTTCTAAGGTGAATCTTGGATGCAATATGTGTAAATGGAGTCTGGAGACAGTGAACCAAAGCCGGATTAATGGAACTAAACAGGAATGCTGATGTAGTGACTTTGTTAAAGTGAGCAGCCTCAGATAGACTGAGACTTTTGTAAGAATGCCTGAAGATCAGGTCTACCCAACCCCCCAAAAAATGCTCTTGGAAGAAATCTTTGGTGAAATTCCAGTAGATAAATGATGTAACTGCAGATGCGCGGAAAAGGGATGACTGGGGGCCAAAGGTGCAAGAGGTCTTTTCTCCATGCAGAGCAGCATAGTACTATAGAAGAAGATACAATGGAATTCTAAACAACCTTAATCTGCATAATAACGTAAAGATTGCATGGGAGGATACACTGGATCTCTGGCAACAAAAAGTAAATGAACTGGCTAGGAAAGGCTCTCATAGTACTCCCATTACCCTTCAACCAGTTTGTGATATAAGCCTGAGCTTTAGCAAAAGGAAAAATGGAAAATCTATAGTAAAACAGCTAAACAATACTGGCACAACAGGGAACAGCTTCACTTCACGCTGTTCCTTGATGGTTCCTGTCCAAGAAGAAATTACCTTCTGAATAACATGAACAGGATATCTCTAAGGAAAATTTCAGTGATCTACACTAATCACTGTAAATTAAATTACCACATGTTCAAACTCAAACTGACAGAGTCCGCTTTGTGTAAGTTCTATTGCAATGAATATGAAAACATGTATAACAGCAACTAGAAGTGCAATATGTTTGCCCGACTTAGATTGAGTGTTTGGAGTGGATTGTTCTATGGATCCTAAGGACTGTGAGCTGGTCGATTCAACAAGTCTCTTTTAAGTTTGCTAATATCACTAAAGTTATGTTCTGATGAAAACAGCTGACAGATTATGGTGCAAAATAGGCCTCATTAGGGTGTTGTATGACGAAAACTTAAAAAAAAAAAAAAGGTCTGAAAAGATAAGAAAGTAAGTTCATTTTACTTCTGTTAAAATATTCTTCATAACTACTTTGGATTATTTTACAGTAACAAGATAAATATTTTTTTTTTACAATGTATTCCTGCACTATATAGAGTAATGGGTTATATAAAATAGAAATGTAAGCAATTAGTGTTTTAGAATGTAGCTAAAACATAAAAGGTCTGGGACCATAGGTTTATTTTGATGCTCAAGACTAAACACCTACTATTTAATTTTGTACTAATTAATCTCAGATGGAGTTTTATATGTTCAATAAGGCACAGAGCTATATTCAATGCATCTGATCCTAGTCAGTGTATCATGGAACAATACTTACAGGCTATGAATTTATAGATATGTGACATTCCACACAGTGCCAACACATTTACAAGATCTATAGATAACATTACCATTATTACTAGGTAACCAAATTTTCAATGCAACCATCTTTATACTAAAAATGTAGCTAAAAGAAGTTTCATGGCATGCATGAATTGTGGAAACAGGTAAGCACCGATGAAAGAAGATTATAATAGAGGCACTTGCAATTGTAGGTTATAATAGAGGCTTTCTTGATTTGTACTCAACACAGTAAGATTAGGTATTTTTCAAACTCTACAGTAACTAAGAACTGCAAATAGGAAATGACATTAAAAATATTAAAATGATAGTAGGCAGTTCTTTTAAAATTAAGACATAGGTTTCCAATAAAAAAATAAAATAAGATATAACCAAAATGATGGTTATAAATTAGGTGAGAACAGTCATATAATTATTTATATAAAAGTAATGAATGGTTGCTATATAGCATTACTAAATATAAGGCTCTTAGTACACAACCCGATCTGAATTTGATTCAAGAAAAAAATACATTCTTTAAACTTACTTCATGATAAAATCTCTCTTCATTTTTTTTCAACGATATCCTTTCTTGATTTAATTTAGTACAATCTAAATCTCCTATTTTATTAATCAATACTGAAATATTTTGAACTAATTCTTTCTCTTCTATCAGTGTTTCACGTAATTTAAGATTGTCATTCAACTCTCTCTGACGAGCCTGAAATAAATGTTAAAAAAATAATTGTAAATAATGACAAACGTCAAACAGATTTCTTTAAATCGTAATATAAATGTAAATATCTTACATTTTGGGTGATTAGATAATTTTTCAAACTATCACGCTCATCACTGATAGCCATCCTCTTCATTTGAAGGGAATCTCCTTTACTTTCAAGAGTGGCAAGGTTTTGTTGGGCCTGTTCAAGTTTTTTTGATCCTCCTGAGTGTTCGTACTCAGAGATCCTGCTCTGCTGGGTTGAGATTTCGCCATATCGACTTTCTAATTTCTTTACCTTTATTGTAGAACAGAATTAAAATTAGGTGCAATTTTCAAATAAAAGCAATGAAAAAATAAAGAAAAACCATAAGGTTTTCATTCATTAATGATTAAGTAATCTAAAAATATAATAAATATCCTCATATTTTAAAACAAAGCAACATTAATACTAATAAAGTTCATTGTTTTTCGGTATTTTTTTCAACTGTTTGAATATAATATCTTTCAGCAGTTACTAACTGCAGACTTTATTTTCTTAATGTTATGACAATGTTATACTGTTACCAATCATCCTACTTTAAATAAATAAATGTTGCTGGTTCTAAATAAATCATACTTTCAGGATTTCTCGATGTATTCTTCAACTTGATCTGCTAACTTTTCCCATTGATTTGGAAGTTTGAAAATCCCTTGTAATTAAAAAGCTTAAGGGCAAATTATAAACTAACTACGCATGTGCTTCTCAATTTCTTGATTGGTTTCCAATCATTCTCCTCCAGTGATTATTTCCAGCAAGAGAAAAATAGTCACAGGGAGTCTGTATTATTCTGTATATAAGATAGCCAACAGATCTCTACCTAAAGTATTTTGAACTATTTGATATACCATGCATCTATAAAAACACTTATATATCATAATAAAATCAGGAAAATCTGTTTGCTAATTGCTGATCCAATAACTTTCACGAGTATTTGGAGACAAAGAATATTCAGCTCATCGACCTTCAATTACCCAACAACTTGAACGAACCTTTTATCCACTTGAGGGTGGACTAGATTCTCCATCAGAGTCAACAGTATATTAGCAGTTCTGCATAAATGTCTGTATGGGTTCAAGCTTCTTGATGGTTGCCAGATGGTTCTACCAAGGCTGGTTACAGATTCAGGTCTGGCCCTCCCAATCGTAACGTCATATCAGAGAAGCCAAAGGAAAAAGGATCGTGCTTTTGCCATATCTAGATCTATAGCAGTAATTTTTTTTATTTTTATCTATGATAATTATACTCTTGATTTTATTTTATTATTTTTGTTGTTTGTAATAAAACTAATTTAATAAGAGTAGGTTATCAACTCACTGCCCCCTAGTCAGGTGGAGGGGTTGCCTCCTTAGAGCACCCTGACCTCATCCGAGGCAGTTTTCTAGAAGAGATGACCCTAAGGTGTGTAATGTAGCTGATCTTGAGTCAATGTGAGTGAGTGGTGTACTGTTCGGTATGTATGTTAGTACGGTGTACTGAACTCGGGATTCTGGAGGCTCATCAACCCCCACTAGTTGCACACTTCAGCAAGTCTCTTCAGATCTAATTGTCAGTGTTGACTAGGCTCTCCCTAAGAGAAGGATCCACTCTAAAATTAAAGGACTTATTTTATATTTAAAGTAATGACAAATCTTATAGATAAATCAGAGGATACAAAGATAATAGTCTGAAGATGGGATATCAACTCCCGAAACATTTCATATTAATAAATAAAATAAATTTCAGAAGACAAGTGCTGTCAGATTTTCATATACCTCGTTATAAGTCTTTGTCTGTAGGTATTAGATTGATATAATGATCTGTAAATAATGTAATTTGTATGTTTATGTAAGGGTTTCCAAACCAAGAGAAACAAAGTACGACTAAAACCCCTCAGCTGGACGATGTGATTGACCCTTCAAAATGCCAATAGTAAAATATAACTACTTTTGATTAGGTGGATTGTGGTTAACAAAGTATTGATATATTTTCAGACCTTGACTCAAGGTTCTGATGTGCATCTTCCAATATATGGTTCACTAGATTCCTTATCCTCAAAATTTTATCTTAAATTAAACTATAGCAAATTTATAATATGCTTACTTTCTGCCTTTCTTCATCTAGTGCTATGGTTTGAGATGATTCAAGAGATTTCCTTTGCCGAAGAAGAGATTCCAATTGCCGAGATAAAGCCTCTAAATCCTCAGACCCTTTATCTACTTCCATCTGTAACATTACCTCTAGACTTTCAAGTTCATCTCTTCTTTCAATTAGTTGAGCACGCATCTGAGCATTCCCACTAATCTGAAACCATCAAAAAGTATAAATAAGCATTTTATAAACTTTACTTAATTTCTTCAATAATCAAACTTAACTTCTTAAATAACAAAACTTCAGTAGTCACAATAAATCTCTAAATTAAGTGAAGGGTCAAGTGGATAAAGGGGATAAGTAAAATTTTTGAATTTATAGAAAAGAGAATTCAAATTACCTGTACCTGCTATAAGGCCAGTATTTATCGTCAATGGGAACCTTTATCAACTGGAGTGTGGATAAAATATTGAAGTTCTTTAAATGAGAAGAAGAAATGCTAATGAAATATCACTTTACCTCTTTATCATAAGCAATAATTCGAGATTTTCTAAAAATACAGTTACCCCCTTTATCTATTTGATTTATCAATCATGAAAAAAAATTGCTAATACATAATCTGCATTTATTAAGTAATAGTAAACGCAGTTAGGAAGTAAAAGACAATTTATTTAAATTTCTTTTATTAACCTAGATGGAATTTAATAAATATTATTAACCTTAAATTGTTGGTTCTGAATAGCATTTTTCTCTTCCTGCAATTTGTTTCTCTTATCGATAAACCTATTTTTCGTACTTTGTTTTTCTTCTAAATCCCTTCGTGCAAGTAGAACTTTTTCTCTTAATTCTTTCTGGTCTTGTAAACTCTCTTCTAATGTCCGTGTGCTACCTGTAAAAATTAATAAATGGAAAATGATATTCGTAGATTATTAGAAATTTAATAGTTTTAAGACACTTATTGTTCAAAACCATACAGATATTAATATATTTGTATAATTTTAAGCATACTTTCTAATTCATTATATATGTATTAGTAGTTAAAAACTATTTTTATTTGATTTTAACCCTTTGACTGCGGGAGATCATTTGAGTGTTTCTACCAGATGACGCATCCCGAAATCCAAAAAGACGTTCAGAAAAATGGATTTTTTTTGCATACATTTGTTTAAAATACTATATTGAGTCACCCTGCAAGATCTTAGCTTTAAAAAATGTGTTTAAACCTTTTTATTCAACCTTTAATAAACAGGACATATGCCTTCCTTACCGCACATACAATGTAAAATTAGAGCGGCAATCCTGCAACACTTCGCTTTCTTGCATATTTGCTCATTTATAAACAGCAAAATAACTCAAAATTATCATTAAAATAACTGTAAGAGATCATAAACATTAAATTATATCATTTATGAAAAAAGAACACTGACTGCAGGATTCGAATTATATATTTCTTTGTATTTACAATTTTTTTTTCTTACCTAAAAAAGTTCCATATTGAAACATAGCACATTTATAAATTTTATTATTGCACTTATATTTATTTTGAGTTTCAAACACTTTTATTTTATTTGAAATATATATATTGTTTTAAGGTGGATAGAAAAATGATAAAACAACTAAAATATCATTTTAATTCTCTATATTTTTATATTTATAAATTTTTACTATTACAATTTAATGTTTGTTTATTTTTACATTTATTTATTTAGTAAACAGAGATCCAAGTGTATCAAAATCAGCATTCAGTCAAAATCTAAATTAAAAAAAAGAAGAAAAAATAATAAAATTAACTCAAATTTGAAGACAGGACTTGCCATACTTCTTTAGGTGGTGACAGCCAAGGTGGGAAGCCATATATCCCAGTCACACCCGTGACCCAGCTCACTGCCGGGAAGGCATATATCCCATCCACAGTCAAAAGGTTAAAAATATTAGACTCCATATTAATTTTAAATGTAAACAAACAATTTCAGTTTTGAAGGTAACATTAATGTCTAATTAATATATAGCCTTAATATGAAATCATACAAATGTCAAATCCTGACTTTTCATGAGAGACAAAAAGTGAATGTGTCTGTTTCCTTGTGTTTTCCCAACAGAATCTACAGATTAGTGTCTCAAGTCTCAGTTAACAGCAGATTTGATGCATCTTTGATTACCCCTTTCCATGAGTAGAAGTATTGCTCTCCTATGGACAATGTCCTAGGAATGTCCAACTTAAGATTGATCATTTGCATAACCACTAAGGGCACCAATAACCACCTGGCTCTCTGTAAATATTGAAATTTGAATAATTGGTTAAAATTTTATTTCCAGAAATAAGAATCATAATATAAATATATAATATATTGTAGGAAAACTGAGGATTTTAGGATGAAAAAATGGTCAAGATTTTTAGAAAATCTTTCTTTAACGAGTTAGTCAATGTTTCGACCCAAACATGTAGGTCATCATGAGGACATTGAAAGCCAGACAAGAACTAAGAACCAAAACGACAAGAGATTCTTGTCTGGCTTTCATGATGACCCACATATTAGGGTCGAAACATCGGCTAACTCATTAAAGAAATTTTTGATGGATTGCCTACAAATCCTGACAATTTTTTCATCCTAAAATCCTCAGTTTTCCACAATATATTATATATTTATATTCTGATTCTTAATTCTGGAAATTAAAATTTTAACCAATTACTCAAATTTCAATATTTACAGACAGCCAGATGGTTATTGGTGCCCTTAGTGGTTATGCAAATGATCAATCTAAGTTGGTGGATGAATAAAACACAAAATTAAATATTAGATTATTAGGGGACTGGAAATTCAGGCATTTCGGGTAATATGAAAGTGGATAGCCTTGTTGGATAAGACTCAAAAGAGAACCTCATGCACAAGATATCATCTGCAGATCCCATAATCCTCAGCTATGCCAAAAGAGGTATAAAGGTACTTTAGATAGTAGGAGTAAGCCCAATTGGCAAAACCCAAGGAAACATTCAAAGTTGTTCCTAGGACACTGTCCAAAGAAGTGTAATACTTCCACTACTCATGGAACTATTACACTTCCAGGGGTAATCAAAGGTAAATGAAATCTGGGGTTAACTTAGACACTAACCTGCAGATTCTGTAGTATGGAGGATGAAACCAGATATCACATAATACGTGGATGATTTACCCAGGAAGGGGAGCTTCCATTTTGGCTATGACTGCATTATTGATCCTAAGCTCTGTGAATTGATTTACCCTAATAGTATATACAAATCCGCAAAGGCTATTGGTCTGCTTTAAGATAGTATAAAGTGGTCCATCTTAGATCTTAGTAAGGTCATGGTGCGTTCATGCCAGAAATAAAAAAAACAAGGTTTGAAATCAATAATTAAAAAAAAATAAAAATGAAAACCAAACATGATCAAAATTATTATCTGGATTTTTCATCAAATGATTTTTATGAAGAATGATTTTTATTTTAATCATAAGTGATAAAAATCACATTGTTTTTGAACACAATTTTTACAATTAACTTTTTACTTTTATACTTTTAATTTGATTTTTACAAATACTTTTTAAAATCAGAAATATAAATTTTTTATAATCTCTATGATATATTGAGAGTCTGGAATAGTAGGTGGAAAATATTGTTGTCAACTATTAGAAACAGAACATCTTTATTTCCGAAATTCAATAGAAATTTTGTCTTCCAAAAAAAAAAAAAAATATATATATATATATATATTGTCTAGGCGTGCACAATTAAAGTGATTTCAGAAATATAATATTAAAAATGTGGCCATTAATAACGTATACATACATATTAATATTTTATTTTATTTGTGTGTAAAAGGTGATTTTTATTTTTTATAAAAAATTGTTGATCACAATTTAATCATTATTGGTTATGTAAAACCGTATTATTCAGTCAGTGATCATTATTTTAAATGAAATCAGTTAACATCAAAGATCGATTTAAATTTTTATTTATAAATCAGGCATGATTTTTAAATAAAAATCAAATATAATAATTATTACATGATTTTATGAAAAATATAATTATCAATTTCAAACTCAGAAAAAATATATTCGATAAGGAAGATATCCATTTTTTCAATTAATCATTGATAACATTACAACAAACCTTTATGCTCCAACCACCAGATTTATCTTCTGGATTAAAATTTTTATTTGCCAAAGAATATATTTACCAGGAGGCATGTTAGCTTCCAACTTGGCAATTTCTCTATCAATTCTGCGGAGGTCAGCAGAATGTTGCTCCAGAAGTACAATGTCACTCAGAATTCCTTTGCCAAGTGATACATCAGTTTCAGGCTGCTGTAGATCATTTTGAAGAACCTCTAGCCCCTCTCTAGCATTGGCTAATTTCTTTTCCAGTTTCTTCAAATCTGATCTAAGACAAAATAAGATTAATTTTATACCCTTCTATGGTGATAATATAAAATGAAAACAGAACATATAAAGAGTTCACTTCAATTTTCATTGCTAGGGCGCTGATTTCTAATGCTCAAGTTCATCCGACGTTCAAGTCCAGCTGATGACAGATAAATTATTTATTCTGTTCCGTTGGTCCTGTATCGACCCTGCGGTCTGGAGAGCCTCCTGTAGCACACCCAGTCTCTATAAACTGGTACTCTTAATTAAAATAACTAATTAAGGGGGTTAATCTGGTGGTTGAGGATGATCCCAGCCCAATCATCTCTCTGAACAACAGTTGTCCTTGAAACAAGACTTCCTTACGAAGTACAGAATCCAAGGCCCTTCGTGTTTTATAGTGGTAGTACAGATTTCTTTCCTTTTATTTTAACACACCAGTATATATAAATTGCCATAGATGGATTTACCTTGATTGTTGCTGAAATATGAGATAACAAAACAAGCAGTAGATTTATTTCAAACATGTACTCACTCAAGATTAGGTATCTCTGTGAACTTCATAGCAGACAATTTATCAAACTTTGGTTTTAACTGCAGCAAATTTTTATGTTTTTCTTGCATAGATTCTAAATTGTCTCTGTTGGTACGTAGTTTTGATGGCACTTCTTTCACCTTAAGGGTCAACTGAAAAAAAAAAATTTTTAATTAATTTACAAAGAAGTAGATTGATGCTAAAATAATCAATTACAAAAGGATATAAATCAGACAATGTTATGTATAATGTAGCCACATTTTAGAATAATATAAATGTTGGATGATAAATAATAATATTTCATTTTAACAAACCTCTTGTATAAGCTCTGTAACTTCTTCTTCTTTGGTGAAACCTCTGTGACAAAGAGGACAGCATGGTTCTTTTTGTTGTAAACTTTGTATATATCGTCTTGACATAAACTGTGAAGCTGACAATGTTCCCTTTTGATCCTAAAAAGCACATAAATATTTTAAATATTACTTAGAAGCACAATTATATACTAATACTTTAACTTATTCCATACCACAGTTCTCTTAGAATAAGTTCACAAATTCTTTTAAAGTTATAAAAGATTGAAAATGGTGTAAAAAGAATTTTAACATAGAGAATTCTATATGATGATATTTTTGAAAAATGCTTTCCAATGTTATGTGTGTTATTGAATGAAAATTCAAAAACTAAAAACTATCTATTAGGAATTACTTATTTAATAGTTAACAAACTTACTGAATAGTTAACTTTAAAAACTAAAATTTAGCTTCCAAACCCTGCCAAGTTGAAACGCCTACTGTCACCTTCATATGGCGCCCCAAGGGAAGTCCGATGGGATTCAAGGACGACAGAGGTGGGGTTCGTCACCTCTTTCCATATGTGTGAGATAGATGCGATGAACCTGTTAGGCACCCAAGCTAGGTTCGGTAGCTCGACCTGTGGCTGAATGGCAGAGGGTGGGTGAAAATATACTGTCTCTTATCGACCCCCTTGGGGAACCGGGCGAGAACCCATTGCAATTAATGACGGCTGTAGGGGAAGGGGGTTGTACCTGCAGTCTGTGAGACCTCCAAACTCGTGGGAATAAAAATTTCTGAAAAAAATAATAAAACTAAAACTAAATCGACGGTATCCGAGGAGAACTTGTCCTCATTGGAGCATTTCAACATATCAGAGGTTACCTCTGATACACTAGAAGAATCTCTAGTAGGGAAATTACTAAAGACCCTGACAGAGTCTGTAGGTACATTCCATGTCCAAACACAGAGGAAGGAAGATGAGGTTATGGAGGTGGCCAGCGCTATAGCACAGGCCCCAACAACACCCATGGACATGGAAGAGATGGATGAACCTGACCTAGGTATTACAAGAAATAGCCCTTCACAATCTAGACTCGACGAGATAGTAGGCGGGGACCACGAATCCAAGGATTCGAGGCCTGCCACGTCGAGGTCGAGCAAGAACGTGAAGAGGCGAAACAGGAGAAAGACAAAAGCCCTTCAACTGTTAAATACACTCAAATCAACGGCAGAAAGTAAATATATTGGAGCCTACTCAAGGGCAGGTAGCAGAGGAAGCAAGGGCCCCACAAGATCCGGCAAACGAAGCAGTGGTGCCGGGGGAGAAAGCCCCAATACCACAGACAGAGCAAAAGAAGGTGACACCTTCTAAGTTAGCGAGGCCACACAGGCCAGCAACAAAGATTGCAAGGCCTCAAAGGTGGAGACCAAGATCGAGACTGACTGTGGAGAAGTGTGTAAGAACATCCTTAGGAATCTCAGCATCAACTGCTACGAAACCAAAGGAAACCGAAATGCCAAAAAACTATGCAAAGGTCGCTATGGGACATTTGGTATCGGAGGTCCCTATCAAATATTCTCAGATCCAACTTAGCCATGACTAGTGCGAAGTATTAAAGGAATCCATCGCCAGCAGGATTGACGAATTACAAATTGGTGAAGATATTCACCCGAAGTTTGACAGAGCACTCCACAAACTCGGAGGATGTCTAGTGTCTTGTCTGGACGACCATATTATAAAATGGTTTAAAAATATCACACCAAGCATCATGATCGAGGAGGGTCTAACCCTACAAGCCTGTGAATTAACAAAAATCACCAGTATCAGAGCCTTCTTTCCTGAAAAGGCTCTGCTTTCTGAATATTATATCAATCAGCTCCAGATAAAAAATCAGTCAATAACTGGTATTAGTAACTGGACCGTATTCAACTTTAAGGCTTTGGAAAGAGGATCCTTCGGAGTGTTCAACATACCGGAGATCAGTCTCCAGAGTCTTACAACATACGGAATGCAGACTTGCTGTGGTATTTACATCATTACATTTAGGCATCTGGCAATGAGTACCAAGCCTGCTTCAGAGGAACTACAAGATGAAGCCCCAAGAGCAAGGACTTCAAAAGAGAGGGAAACCAAGAAATCTCCTCTTCTACAAGGAGGTTGGGTCAAGGCGTCGGCCGTGTCAGAAGGCAGGGCTAGGCTAAAGGAATCCCTGCCACTTTCACGAGCTGGGGACCAGATCTCGCCTCGGGACAATCCTCATTAAAACCGGGTAAAGGATCAAAAGCGAGGTCGAGTGGTGGGGAGAAACCAAAAGTGAAAACTGAGTTGATGGTGGAACCCTACCATCGGCTTCGTCTGGAAAACCAACTCCCTCTCCCCTCTCCCGGAAGTAACATGTAAAAACTATGAACCTGCTGCAGATCAATATCCACCACTGCATTGCAGCATGTGGTGTATTCCAACAGTACACAAAAGGTAAGGATATAGATATTATTCTAATACTTGAATCTTATTTAATTGAAGTCAGGATTAGGGAAATGGGCATACCTGGGTATGGAATTATTTACGTACCCACATACTCCAAGGCCTGCCTACTATATAAGAATCAACTAAAACTTCTGCCTCTAGGGCAATTCTGTTCTAAAGATCTTGCAGCAGCTAAATACACCCAAGGGGACAGTAAATACATTATCGTAGCGGCAGTCTATCTGCCATATGAAAATCAAGAACCTGCAGAAGGAATCGAGGGAATCCTAAGCTGCAGCGATAACATCATAGCTGCCCTGGATGCCAATGCACATAACGAGATCTGGGGGAGCTCGAACACCAACTCTAGAGGTGAGAAACTCTTGGAAACTATAATTAAATACGATTTTGATATTCTGAACAAGGGGAATAAACCTACCTTTTACAATAAGGTTAGATCGGAGATCATAGACATAACCCTATCGACTCAAACAATTAATGTTCTCATAGACAACTGGCATGTTTCTGATGAAGAAACATACTCGGATTACAGATATATCAAATTCGATATATCTGACAGAACACATGATGTGGAATATAGAGATCCCAAACGTACAGACTGGGTTTCCTATAGCACAAATTCCGAGGTGGCTGTTAAATGCTGCCCCAAAGCTATCCACAGTTCATAGCAACTAGAATGTCTTAACACTTTATTAACTGACACAATAATTAAATCATACCTGCCCAGTAATGAAGCTCAAAAATCATAACCAACAGGAAGGTTCCTGGTGGAATGAAAGTCTAACAAAGCAACGAAAATTCACAAGGAGATTGTTCAAAGCTACAAAAACATCTGGAAATTGGGATAGCTATAAGTAAGCTCTTACTGAGTATCACAAATCTGTCAGGAAAGCCAAAAGAAAAGCCTGAAGAAGGTTTTTTGTGGAGGTGGATAATATTCGGCAGTATGTCTATCACAAATCTGTCAGGAGAGCCAAAAGAAAAGCCTGAACGTTTTTTGTGGAGGTGGATAATATTCCGGCAGTAAGTCGACTTAATAAAATTCTACCAAAACAAGCTAACTAATGTATGATGGGAACTCTTAAACATGAAGAAAAATTCACCATGAATAAAATTGACCCATTATATTATACTCAGCTTTGCTTTGGTGGTACAAAGCAAAGACTGTAGTTAACTCAACCTTATTAGGAAAAATTAAAAGACTAGCCTGTCTGATGATAACGGGATGATGTTGAACAATGAGCTCCACAACGACTGTTGCTATGGAGATAATGTTGAACATGCCACCATTGTAGATGGAGGTGGAGGCTTGGGCAACAAATAAATTATACACGCTGAGTAAGCTCTGAGCTGTCAAGGGGGACATACAAAACTGCTGAATAGGATTGGATGTGACGAAGTGACGTTTTTCAAAAATATACCTTATCTAATAGATCTAATGTTTAGTTAACTATTTGGGGAAGTCAAGCAGTTTCCAGGAATTTTCAGGAAAAAACAAATAGTGACTTGCTGGAATTAGATGACTTCGTTAATATTGACATTAATCCTTGCTTGTTTGCTGCTGAACTTTTAATTTGTTTTGAATAAAAGACCTGGTTTGCTGAACTTTGAATTTATTTTGATAAAAGGCCTGCATTACTTAACTTTGAATTTATTTGAATAAGAGAAGGAGTTAGTTGAGGGTGCGGTCAAATAAATAAAAAAAATTAAAATATATAAATAATTTTAATATATTTTAAATATTTTATATATTTTAATTTTTTTTTTATTTATTTGACTGCACCCTCAACTAACTCCTTCTCATATCATATCCACGGTCAACCATCTCTACATCATTATTTGAATAAGATTAGGTTTTGCCTTCAGCAATTAAAATTAAATTTGAATTTTTTTTTTTCTCTCCACAACTTTGAATATGGCACCGACTAAGAATACTGAGGGACTTAAAGCTGTAAATGATAGAACAGAAAGGATGTTTCTTCGAATTCAAACCACATTCGATATGATTAAGAATCTCCCTGCAAGAAAGAAAATTTTTATGGTTAGGGCTTCAGAAATTAAAGCACAATTGTAGGAATTTGAACTGTGTTGAACAAGATTTCTGTGCTAAATGAATCATTAGATGAAGAACATAGGAAAGAAATAAACACACCATCTTTAGCGGCGGAGAAACTTTATTATAAGATATAAGTTGCGCACGAGAAATTAATTAAAGCTGAGCACATAGTTCCCGCTTCTAAACCCATGTCAAAACCAGTAGCATACTCTAAATTGTTAGATTTACAAATTCCTCAATTTTCTGGTCAGTACGAATAATTTCCTTCATTTAAATCATTATTTGATGCCTTAATTCATCATCGAAATTACACAGATATAGTAAAGTTTTCATACCCCAAGTCATTTTAGTTCATCCTGCTTCACAGGCCATTTCTTGAATTGAGTTTAACACAGAAAATTACAGCTTGGCCTATGATAAATTAATAAAGCACTATACTAATAAAAGAATCATTGCGGCCTACCATCTTAACAAAATTATACAGTTTAAATCATTTTCTGTTGATAATTCTTCCAACTTTAGAAGCTTTCTGCATACATTTGAAGATAATTACAATGCCTTAAAAAATCTTAAACTCCACAACCTCACTGATTTTATTTTGCTGCATGTTGGACA